CGCCAGCTGTCCTCTCACGGCACGCGCCCCGCATCCTGGTGTGACTCCTGCGCTGTGGCCGGAGGGTGTGGCCAGCAGGGTGGGGGTGCTTCGGAAGCTTGCTGGGACCCCCTCTCTGTGAGGTTGTGCTGTTCCGTGTGCGTCTGAAGATGAAGTGTCTCCTCAGGACCTGCTTGCAGCGGAGCAGATGCAGAGCCACAGGCTATCTGGAGTGTTTCATGTGTCATGTATCATTCATGTGTGTGTTCATATGCACTACACACGACGTACATGCACAATATGTAATAATACATAATCCCCAAAGACACGTGTAGCTATAACAGCAGGCAGGCACAGGGCCATCCATATTTGTAGGTACACACACGCATGCACGCACGCTCACAGAGCAGACAGTCTCCGCTGCCTAAACTCCAGTTCCGTCCCATTTTCCCTGTGCTGCTCCGTCACCAGGTGGACTGCAGTGGGGTGATCTCGCTCACTGCAACCGCCTCCCGGGTTCAAGTGATTCTCCTGCCTCAGCCTCCCGAGTAGCTGAGATTACAGACATGTGCACCAAGCCTGGCTAATTTTTCTATTCTTAGCAGAGACGGGGTTTGGCCATGTTGGCCAGGCTGATCTTAAACTCCTGACCCCGAGTGACCCGCCCGCCTCGGCCTCCCACAGTGCTGGGATTCCAGGTGTGAGCCACGGTGCCCAGCCTCCTTTTTCTTGATAGCTTTGATTTCTGAGAGAAATCTGAGAAGACGTCAGCTATGCCTGTGAACTTGCCAATTTCTTCTTGAATTTCTGTCCATTTTGCCTTATACATTTGAGAATTTTGCCTTATGTGTTCACCGTGGCAGCTTCCGGATGCATTTCTGCCTTTGTCCAGTTACCTCCCTCGTTGTTCCCTAAAAGGACAAACCTCACCTTCAGCTGTTGGTCTGTGACCGCCGTTTCCATGCCTTGATTCCTGAGAGCGCTGCCTGGTGCAGGCATCCCCACGTTTTCGTTTTGTGAGTCTCTTGCAGACGGAAAATAGTTGTGTTACGTTTTTATCCTAATCTGAGACTCGCCACGTCCACGCGTGGTCATCACTGTCACACTTTGACTGTTTTTTGGCATCTTGTTTCATAATATTAACCGTTTTTTTTTTTTAAGATAGGGTTTCACCATCTTGGCCAGGCTGGTCTTGAACTCCTGACCTCAGGTGATCTACCCACCTTGGCCTCCCAAAGTGCTGGGACTGCAGACGTGGACCACCCTGCCCAGCCCATATTAACCACTCTTTAGTGATATTTTCTTTCCTTGTGTTGTTCCATTTCATTCCTCCGATGGTTTAAAGCCATTCCTCCGTTCCATCCTTCCAGTTTACCTGCTGCATTTGTCAGCCCACTCTCCCCGGCTCTCACGTGTGGCCAGCGCCTCGTTCTTCCTCGGGAGCAAGACGGGAAGCCCACTGCACGTTGGCCGCCTTCACAAGCCTCCTGTGCCCGCTGCGCTGAGGCCGTCCGGGATTTTAATTCTAGGCTATTGTTCAGTTTCTGTAAAATCATTTCACCTTTGCTGAGATAGAATTCGCAGCTAGAAACTGTGCACAGTTCAGGTGTAGGACTTGCTGTTCTGATCCACGCTGTGGACCCAGCTGCAGCCAGGCTCATCCGCGTGCTCTGGCCTCACAGTCACTACAGTCACTGTTCACGTGTAGGACTTGCTGTTCCGATCCACGCTGTGGACCCAGCTGCAGCCGGGCTCATCCGCGTGCTCCAGCCTCACAGTCACTACAGTCACTGTTCACGTGTAGGACTTGCTGTTCCGATCCACGCTGTGGACCCAGCTGCAGCCGGGCTCATCCGCGTGCTCCGGCCTCACAGTCACTGTTAGGTTGGTACAAAAAGTGACTGTGGTCTCAGCCATTAGAAGCAATTACTTTTGCACCAACCTAAATTCTTTTTCTCTTTTAGCCGCCTAGGTTGGAGTGCCGGGGTGCAATCTCAGGTCACTGCAGCCTCTGCTTCCCGGGTTCAATCCATCTTCCCGCCTCAGCCTCCCCAGTAGCTGGGTCTATAGTCACTCACCACCATGTCCGGCTGATTTTTTTCTTTTTCCGTTTTTAGTAGAGGCAGCGTTTTGCCATGTTGCCCAGGCTGACTGCAAGTGACCCGCCCTCCTTGGCCTCCCAAAGTGCCGGGGTTACAGGCTTGAGCCACCGTGCCAGCGTCTTTTCTTTGTGTGTGGTGAGAAAGATGGGTCCTCTTAGCACCTTTCCAGTGTCCAATACAGCTTTGTTAACCGTGGCCACAGGTAGACAGCCCTCCCCAGAAACTGCATCTGCCAGCACCTTGGTCATGCACTTCCAGCGTCCAGAACCATGAGAAAAAGCGTGTGGAGGGTTAGAGCAGCCAGCCTGTGGCGGCAGCCTGGGCAGGCTGCAGGGGTGAGGGTTAGAACAGCCAGCCTGTGGCGTTCTGCTGTCGCAGCCTGGGCAGGCTGCAGGGGTCTGTGCTTTGTCCCGCTTCGCTAAATCACCTCTGAGAAGCTCTTTCAGGAAGGATGCGTGGGTGACACTTTTAGTGTCCTCGAAGTTCGTCACCGGGTGCTGCCACCGGAAGGCCTGCGTGGCCGGGGCTGTGATTCCAGACACACAGCCAGTCACCTGGGGACTCAGGGACGCCCTGTCCTCTCACTCCTACCGCTGTGGGGAAGCCTGGGGGGGGTTGTCGCCCTGTCCTCTCACTCCTATCGCTGTGGGGAAGCCTGGGGGGGGGTTGTCACCCTCTCCTCTCACTCCTACCGCTGTGGGGAAGCCTGGGGGTGGGGGTTGTCGCCCTGTCCTCTCACTCCTACCGCTGTGGGGAATCCTGGGGGGCGTTGTCACCCTGTCCTCTCACTCCTACCGCTGTGGGGAATCCTGGGGGGGGTTGTCACTCTGTCCTCTCACTCCTACCGCTGTGGGGAATCCTGGGGGGGGGTTGTCGCCCTGTTCTCTCACTCCTACCGCTGTGGGGAATCCTGGGGGGGGGTTGTCGCCCTGTCCTCTCACTCCTACAGCTGTGGGGAATCCTGGGGGGGGGTTGTCGCCCTGTCCTCTCACTCCTACAGCTGTGGGGAATCCTGGGGGGGGGTTGTCGCCCTGTCCTCTCACTCCTACAGCTGTGGGGAATCCTGGGCGGGGGTTGTCTGTCGCCCTGTCCTCTCACTCCTACCGCTGTGGGGAAGCCTGGGGGGGGAGGATTTGTTGTTTTTGTTTCTTATCACGTTGGGTGTTAAATTTTTCCGTTTGCCCTCATTGTTCTAAAGTTTTATGACAATGAAGACGGATGGAGGAATTTTTTTCTCATTGAGCTGATGAAAGACCAGATTTGTTCCTTCTGCAGTTTGTGTGTGGCATTCACAGAGAGCGATTCTGTAACAGCCGCTGCTCCGGGCACCGGGCCCGGGGAGACACCGCGAGGGGCAGGCGGAGCTTCCGTCGCGGGGCCGCGGGGCGTGGGTGTGCGTTACTTCCCTCCCATCCAGCTTGTTCCTTGTAAGGTCTTACATCGCGGCTGTCGGAACGTCCGGATTCGTCCTGTTTCCTCTTTCTTAAGAGTCCCCCTTGATCTTCCCTGCCGTGCACAGAAACGTCGTGTATTTTCATGTACAAATAAGAGGAAGCCATAACGCACCCCAGACCGTGGAGGAGAGCTGGCAGCGCTCGGCCTCGCGTTCCACACTCACTCCTCACCTCTGCCTCCTGCCCCTCACCCCATCACTGGGTAATTTTTTTTGGACATCACATTTTTCACGTTTATATTTTCGATTCTGTGTTTCAGGCTGTACCTTCTCTATGAGTAAATAAACTGTGGGGATGTATGGCCCTTTTCTCAAGGGTGTTGTTTGCTCTGCTTCCTCGATACCTGCTGACTTTGGGGCCCCTTTTCAGCAGTGATGGGTTTTCCTCAAACATTCAATTGTTCCATGAAAATGGGTTGGGTGCATATTTAACCAATTTTAGGTTAAAATTGGTTGGCGCCCAAAGTAACAGTGATACGGTGTATTCCCATTCACATAAGAAAGGACTCTGGAGGGAGGGCCCCTGAAGCACCTTTCACCTCCCATGCCCTACGTGGAGGCTGGGCTACACCTGGAGGCCCCATGTGGAGGCTGGACAACACCTGGAGGCTGGGCTACACCTGGAGGCTGGGCTACACCTGGAGGCCCCATGTGAAGGCTGGATTACACCTGGAGGCTGGGCTACACCTGGAGGCCCCATGTGAAGGCTGGACAACACCTGGAGGCTGGGCTACACCTGGAGGCCCCACATGGAGGCTGGATTACACCTGGAGGCTGGGCTACACCTGGAGGCCCCATGTGAAGGCTGGATTACACCTGGAGGCTGGACTACACCTGGAGGCCCCATGTGGAGGCTGGATTACACCTGGAGCCTGGGCTGCACCTGGAGGCCCCACACGGAGGCTGGATTGCACACGGAGGCCACATTGCAGGTGGAGGGGCAGCTGGAGAGGGGTTGGACAGGCCACATCCAGGCTGCACTGTGGTTCAAGCCTACCACCTGCGAGCCCCTTGCGGGTGGTGGATGCTGACCACAGAGGCAGCCTCCAGGGCCTCCCAGCGCCGCTGCCTCTGAGCCTCAGGAGGGGCCTGAAGATGTGCATTTTTATCACTCCCATGAAGGTGGTAATGGGACTGATTCTAAGCAGGGCATAAGGGGTCAGTTGTGTCCTTGGTGGCACTGATGGGGTGAGGGGAAAACCAGGGGACACGGGGGTGGCCAGAGAGCTCTGGGTCAGGTGGAAGACAGAGGCCTGCCCAGGGAAGAGTGGGCGCCACCTGCGGCCAGAGCTCAGCGACCGGTAGCACCAGGCTCCACTGGAGCTCCTGCAGGGGTGCCAGGCACATGGGCAGCACCGTGTGGGGGAAGCCAAGGAGGAGGGCGTGAGAATGCCCCATCCCAGCCTGGGGGGCTTGGGGGCGATGCTGGGGCCCGGGTTTAGGAAAATGAAGACAGGAGTGGTGGGTCAGAGGGGAAATGGGGGTGCAGGGCTGAGGGGCTGCGGGGTACCCACAGGCCACAGGAAGCTCACCCGGAGGTTGAGGAGAGCTTCAGGCAGCCACGACACAGCCCCGACCCTGGACATGTCAGGAACTTTATTTGTGGAAAACAGAGAGGAGCCAGCCAGGCCTGAGATGGAGGAGTTAACATCTTCAGTTTTCCCACATTCCCCATCCCGAGGGTCCTGATGGTTCAGGCTCCTATGAGCTGTTGACACCAAACCTGGAGACCCCCACGTCCCCCCTCCTGCCTGCACCGTGCCTCCTTTCTGGGTGTGACCAGCACTTCCTGGGAGTGGGGAGGGAGAGCTTCAGCAGCCTCATCCCAGGGTCCTTGGGGCCCTCTGCGTCTCGTGACAGGCCTGGGCTTTGTCTGGGCCTGTCCCACCACGGAGCTTATCATGACAGCCAGTTCAGGCAGTGCACCCACGCCAGGCCAGGCAAGGATCCGTGCTGAGTCACCTTGGGACATGGAGGCCCTCCTGGGGAGTGTGGCAGGGTCCCTTCCTCACAGGCCTAGGCCCGAGGGGGCCACAAGGGACCCCGACTCTCCAGGGCACTTGCCTTGGGCAGATGACCTCCATGGTGGACGAGCTGCTCAGGGTGACACAGACAGGAAGGGAGTGGACTCCAGCCAAGAGCTCGGTCGCACAGGCCCAGCCCCTCACCTGATGGCCAAGGGTCCCAGGGGCTCCTCAACTCCAATGGCCTGTGCCTCTCCTCTGGGGTCACCTTGACCCCGTCCAGTTCACAAGGTCGTTTGTGGCAGATTTGTATTGGCCGTGAGGGGCAGTGGGTTCACCAAACCCCATTGTGCACCCCCAAGGCCCCGCATCAGCCTGAGTCCCAGACAGGCTCAGGGGAGGGAAGCCCCAGTTTCTGGGGGCCGTTCACGGACTGGAGCTACACAGCCCGCGTGCAGTCAGTAGTGGGCCCCCAACTCAGCGGCCACCTTCTGGAGGAGAGTCTTGTGGTTCGCATACAGCGGGACGCGCCTGTCCACCACCTGCCATCGGATGGAGACCCCCGGGTCACGGGCATGCAGGTTCTGGAAGAACAAGGGCAGAGCTGACCCTCTCTGCCGGCCCTGCCTCTGCCCAGCTGAGCTCACAGACTGCAGCCTTCCAGGGCCCAGGGCCTGCCTGGCTGGACTCTGTGCCCTCACTTAACTCCCCTGTGAGGTGAGAGGCAGGGACCCTGCATCAGGGGCACCCGAGATGCACCCGAGAGGCCCTGGGGATCCCTCAGGGGAAGAAGCCTGTGCTTACCACCTGGGGTTACTGTATGGAACTTTCCCATCCCAGTTCTGAATCAGGAGCCTGCAGCATTGATCCAAGTATGGGGAACCCACATCCCCATAAAGGGCTACCAGCAGGGAGCAGGGAGGGCTTTGCCAGCCTCGCCGCTGGACGCCGTCCCTGAGGCCTCCCTGGAGGACCGGGTCCCAGAACTGCACAGGGCCCTGGTGGGTGCCTGCCCAGCCCGGTCACCTCCAGCCATGTTCAGCAGTTCCCTGGCCTCTCCCTGGTGCCCCCCTTGTCACTTTCTGAGCAAGACTCTGACCCTGCAGCCTCCACTTTCTGGCCCTGGGCCCCAGGAGCACGGCCAGGTCCCCCCACAAGAACCTCCTGGGGCATGGCCAGAATCCAGACCCCCGCCCCCACGCTCCCCAGAGCCCATGCCCATACGGAATTCAGCCTGTTGAGCTCCACGTCGTTCCGGTCTTCGAAGTGGACGCTGACGGCCACCGTCTCGATCCAGGCATTGTCCGTATTCCTCGGGTCATCCACGTAGCCTTTGTACACCTGGATGGGCAGGGCAGGGTGAGCCAGCCAGCGAGGAACCCCCGATCAGTGCCCGGGCCCACCACGTGCCCTCCACCTGTCCCAGCTCTGAGCACCGCTGCCACCACACACGGGCCCCCGGCCCAGCTCTCCCCAGCCTCTGCCAGCCTGCTCGGGCCCGCGGAGCCGAGTGGCCCGATGCGGGCGTCGTCCTGGACAGATGCGTCTTGTCCTGCAGAGATCTTGGACACGTCTGTTCAGTGGAGGAAGCCAGCCTCAGGAGCCACCTGCTGCAGGAGCCCGCTCACAACACACTCCCAGAACCGGCAAATCCAATGAGATAGGAAGCAGATTTGGGGGTGCTGGCGGGAGCTGGGGTGACTGGGGCCATAGAATGTTCTGGACCTGGATAGAGGTGGTGGCTGCAGCATGTCGTGAGGTGCTCCACACCATGGCACTGCCCACTTTTTTTTTTGAGATGGAGTGCAGTGGCGCAACCTCGGCTCACTGCAACCTCCACCACCTGGGTTCAAGCAATTACTCTGTCTCGGCCTCCCAAGTTGCTGGGATTACAGGCACCTGGCACCACACCAGGATCATTTTTACATTTTTGTAGAGACAGGGTTTCACCATGTTGTCCAGGCTGGTCTCAAACTCTTGATCTCAGGTAATCCACTTGCCTCGGCCCCCCAAAGTGCTGGGATTACAGGCATGAGCCACCACGCCCAGCCTGCTCACTTTTAAATGGTTAATTTTATGTATGTAAATTTTACGTCAAGAAAAATAAATAAATTCTATTTAGATGTAAAAAAGAGAGAGCTGGCAGCACCCCCGAGGCCCTGCGCTAAACCCATGAAGCCACCGGGTTTGCAGGTGAAACCGTCAATGTCAGCGATGACACCTGCTTCCACCTAACACGGGACAAGAGCAGAACTGGCGAGAATGTCGTGCCCGCTCAGAGGAGCTCAGGAATGAGCCTCCTAAAGTGCTGGGATTCCAGGTGTGAGCCAGCAAGCTTGGCCCCTGTAGCCTGTTTTTATAAAGAGCGTGCATGAAGGGCCAGGCGAGGTGGCTCACGCCTGGAATGCCAGCGCTTTGGGAGGCCAAGGTGGCTAGATCGCTTGAGGTCAGGAGTTCGAGACCAGCTTGAGTAACGTGGCCAAACCCCGTCTCTACTAAAAATACAAAATATTAGTTAGGTGTGGTGTCTTGCGCCTGCAGTCCCCACTACCTGGGAGGCAGAGGCGGGAGGATCACTTGAGCCTGGGAGATGGAGACTGCAGTGAGCCGGCATCACACCGCTGCACTCCAGCCTGGCTGTCAGAATGAGACCTGTTTCCAAAAAAAAAAATAGTGTGCATGACTTTGTGTGAGAGCAACAGCTGGATGGAGGCTTTCGAGGGAAAGATCAAGGTTCCTAAAGAAGTACACAAAATGTCCCGCACAGTCGTCCCCAGGCTGGGCACGCGTGGGGGGAGGCGGAGGACGGGTCTGAGGCAGGGGCTGGCTTCCCGGCACCTTTGGGCAAGGGTGGATGTGGGAAGGAGGCCAGCACCAGGCCTCCAAGCAGCTGTCACACCGAAGGCAGCAAGGGCCCTCAGCCTGTCCCCCTTGATTGAGAGAAGAGAAAATGGAGCAAAGAGGGAAGGCGAGATGTCTGAGAGCCCCACACACAGCTCTGCATCCTGGTCCCCTGGGAGCTGCGCAATGTGGGGCCAGGGACGGGCACCACCATCACCCGGAGAAGCTGGGTGGGACCGCCATCAACTAGTGAAGCTGGGTGGGACCGGCTTCACCCAGTGGGGCTGGGGCAGGCCCCAGTATCACACTATGTTCGCCCTGCAGCCCTGGGGACACGCAGGTAGAGAGGAGTGAACAGGCCAGCCCTACCTCCGAGCCATGCTTCAGCAGCTTCTCAAAAGACGGCCAGTGCTCCTGCCGGAGGATCTGCTTCAGCTTCCGAGGCAGCGTCTCCCCCGGCTCCCGGGAGCCCTGGACAGCAGAAGACAGGGCCAAGTCAGCGGGGCACTGATGCGGGACTCAGGCTGCCCTGGCACCACCTCCACTGGCCTCCTGCCCAGCGTGGGCAGCGGCCCAGCCCTGGGAGCCACAGGCAGGCAGCATCTCAGGCTGGAGTGACACTGCCCAGAACCCACCGTCCATGTCAGCATCTGTGAGCCCTGCGGAGGTCCCAGTCGCGGGCGCTGGACTGCAGACGCAACCTCTGAGGAGCAGGGACAGCCCTGGGGGCAGCCCCAGGGTGCCTACCCTGAGCTCAGGGTCCCCGAGGTGACAGGGCACCCCCAGCTCACTCTCCTGGCACCCGACCCTCCCGGCTGGCGCCCAGTGCACAGGCTGCCATAGAGGTTCCTTGTTTGCATTCCAGTCCCACCCTGGCCTGCACTGGGGCTGGCGGGGCTCCCAGATGCTCCCGAGCGCCACCTGCCTCAGGGGCCCGCCTCCGGCCTGCACTCCTCCTCCCCACACCCATCTTTCCCACCCCATCTGTCATTCAAAGTCTTGCTGAAATGCCCGTGGGTGTCTCATGAAGACTTCACAGGCCACGTCAGTGCCGTCCCACCTCAGCCCAGGTGACACCCCACCCTGAAGCATGTGTGCCCTACAGAGCCAGGAACCCAGGAAGCCCCTCAGAGTGCCCCTCTCAGTAACCAGCCGGAGCTGACGGGGTGCTGCTGAGTGGGAGACCAGACCCAACACCACGCACCCTGCATGGAGAGGCCGGAGAGCAGAGGGTGACACGTGCCCTAAGGCCAGGTGTGCATGGGTAGAGAAGCACTGGGTGACAGCATTGAGGCAGCAAGGGGACCCCGAGGCCAAAGGCTCGCTCTGCTGCGGGGGTGGTCCTGGCCATGGAGAGAGGCCCCCAGAGCACTGGGACTAGGAGGCTGGGCTCCAAATCCCCGTTCTGCCCAAAGGCCCTTGTTGAGCCACTACCCTGCACACCCCGGTGGCACACACCCCACACCAGCAGAGGCAGCCACCAGGCCGTGAGCTCAGGTCAGAGAAACACAACAGCGTCTTGCAGAGTTGCTGTAAGTCACACTCCCAGGACTAGGTGCAGAGGACAGGCCCTGACAGGCAGGCTGTCACCCAGAGGCCGCACCATGGCCAGGTCTGGCGGGACTCAGAGCTCCTGGCATGACCTGCCTCTTCCATTCCCTGCAGTGAGGGGACTGGAAGTCTACGGAGGCCGTGCTGTCCTGGGAGGACACAGGAGCCGTTGGAGGCACTGCTGACTCTGTCCACCCCTCCCCACAAAACCCCTGGGGTTCGCTCCAGCCTCAGCCCCACAACCGGCCATTTCCCCTGAGCTGAGGATCTGTGCACACTCCTGGGCCCTGCCCCTGCCCGCTCCTGCCCCTGCCCCGCCCCTGGATGACACATCCTGTCTTTACAGCTCAGCACTGGCCCCAAAGGTCGGGAGTAGGTGGATGTATGAGACAACCCGTGAGGAGCTACCTCTGCTCCCAACACCCTAGACTCTGTGAGGGGGAGCCCTGGTGGTCTCAGCCCAGCCCAGCCCGGGATGCAGCAGGTGCCTGTCAGTGTTTAGGCAGCAAAAGAGCCTCTGAACCTGGGTTTCCCCACCTGTGACATGAGGAACCGGGAGGAGGAGTGTCTCCTACAGATAACACAGGCTGGGGTCTCCAACCCTTCCTACCCAGTGACCGCAGGGGCTGGCCTTCAGTCCGTGGGCGCAATGGACGAACGGACCAGTGACCCACAGACAGCCCAGTGGACAGACCCCACTGGGGTCTTACCCACTGCCGCCTGGGGCGGCAGCCTTACCCCAGGCAGGGACCAGTGCTCAGAGAGAGGGAGCTTCACCACCAGGACTTCCAGCATTTTCTTTATGCTCTTCCTGCAGATGGCTCCGTCCTCATTCCGCTTCCACCTGCGAAGGGAACAGCCATGGCTGCCCAGTCCCCAGTGTGGCTCCACCCTGCCCCACACCCACAGCTGTGCAGACCCTGGTGTGGCCTCCACCCTGGCCTGCACCTTGGGGGCCTGGCCCTGCCTGGGATGGGGATGTCAGGCCTGCTGCAGGCTCAAGCTGTCTTCTTTTTTCCTGTTCTTCATCCCCAGAGAAAGGACCCAGACAGTAACCAGTAAGGCACATCCTTCTCCACTTCCACCAACAGCTGGTAGGACTAGAAAGAGCCCCAGCTTTTATAGAGAATTTTTTAAAGATTAAAAGCTTTAAAAAGGCACCTGCCCATTGACCCAGCTTTGCAGTTTGACAGCTTAGAAAAGGAGGCCGGGAGCCCAGTGAGGTGATGTGGGTGCCGAATGCAGCCAGGGAGGCCAAGGAGAGGCCAAAGTACCAGGGAGCAGGGCAGGACTGGCGGCCCAGGGCGCTGTGTGCACCGACAGAGAAGCCGCTGGATGAGAGCAGCTGCGCAGCAAGACACCCGCAGGACAAAGGCCCCTCTGTAGGGGAGGTCCCAGCTGTGGAGGCAGAGCCCCAAGAGAGTGCAAGGCACAACAGCTGGCCCTGTGCCAGGAACCCCATCTTACCCAACCAGAACAGCGAGAGCTCCCAGCAGCTTCGCCAGGGACGGAAGCTTCCACACCCCTGTGAGGTGGCCTGTGCCTTGGGTGGGAGCAGCAGGCTGGACACTGGACTGCGGAGGAGTCAGCCAGAGGGTGTGATTGTAGAGCTGTGTGTGTGGATGGTGTGGAGTGTGAGGGTGAGTGTGGAGCTGTGTGTGTGTGAAGTGTGAGGGTGAGTGTGGAGCTGTGTGTGTGTGGATGGTGTGGAGTGTGAGGGTGAGTGTGGAGCTGTGTGTGTGTGAAGTGTGAGGGTGAGTGTGGAGCTGTGTGTGTGTGGATGGTGTGGAGTGTGGGGGGTGTGTGGAGCTGTGTGTGCGGATGGTGTGGAGTGTGAGTGTTAGGGTGAGTGTGGAGCTGTGTGTGTGTGGTGTGGAGCATGAGTGTGGAGCTGTGTGTTTGTGGTGTGGAGTGAGTGTGAGCAGTGAGTGTGGAGCTGTGTGTGTGTGGATGGTGTGGAGTGTGAGGGTGAGTGTGGAGCTGTGTGTGTGTGAAGTGTGAGGGTGAGTGTGGAGCTGTGTGTGTGCAGATGGTGTGGAGTGAGTGTGAGGGTGAGTGTGGAGCTGTGTGTGTGTGGATGGTGTGGAGTGTGGGGGGGTGTGTGGAGCTGTGTGTGTGTGTGGTGTGGAGTGAGTGTGAGGGTGAGTGTGGAGCTGTGTGTGCGGATGGTGTGGAGTGAGTGTGAGGGTGAGTGTGGAGCTGTGTGTGTGTATGGTGTGGAGTGTGGGGGGTGTGTGGAGCTGTGTGTGCGGATGGTGTGGAGTGTGAGTGTTAGGGTGAGTGTGGAGCTGTGTGTTTGTGGTGTGGAGTGAGTGTGAGCAGTGAGTGTGGAGCTGTGTGTGGATGGTGTGGAGTGTGGGGGGTGAGTGTGGAGCTGTGTGTGTGTGTGGATGGTGTGGAGTGAGTGAGAGGGTGAGTGTGGAGCTGTGTGTGGATGGTGTGGAGTGAGTATGAGTGAGTGTGGAGCTGTGTGTTTGTGGTGTGGAGTGAGTGTGAGCAGTGAGTGTGGAGCTGTGTGTGTGTGGAGTGTGAGGGTGAGTGTGGAGCTGTGTGTGTGGAGTGTGGAGGGTGAGTGTGGAGCTGTGTGTGTGTGGATGGTGTGGAGTGTGGGGGGTGAATGTGGAGCTGTGTGTGTGTGGATGGTGTGGAGTGTGAAGGTGAGTGTGGAGCTGTGTGTGGATGGTGTGGAGTGTGAGGGTGAGTGTGGAGCTGTGTGTGTGTGGATGGTGTGGAGTGTGGGGGGTGAATGTGGAGCTGTGTGTGTGTGGATGGTGTGGAGTGTGAAGGTGAGTGTGGAGCTGTGTGTGTGGATGGTGTGGAGTGTGAGGGTGAGTGTGGAGCTGTGTGTGTGGATGGTGTGGAGTGTGGGGGTGAGTGTGGAGCTGTGTGTATGTGGTGTGGAGTGAGTGTGAGGGTGAGTATGGAGCTGTGTGTGTGTGGATGGTGTGGAGTGTGAAGGTGAGTGTAGAGCTGTGTGTGTGGATGGTGTGGAGTGTGAGGGTGAGTGTGGAGTTGGGTGTGTGTGTGGATGGTGTGGAGTGAGTGTTAGGGGTGAGTGTGGAGCTGTGTGTGTGTGGATGGTGTGGAGTGTGGGGGGTGAGTGTGGAGCTGTGTGTGTGTGGATGGTGTGGAGTGTGGGGGTGAGTGTGGAGCTGTGTGTGTGTGGTGTGGAGTGAGTGTGAGGGTGAGTGTGGAGCTGTGTGTGTGTGGAGTGTGAGGGTGAGTGTGGAGCTGTGTGTGTGTGGATGGTGTGGAGTGTGGGGGGTGAGTGTGGAGCTGTGTGTGTAGATGGTGTGGAGTGTGAGGGTGAGTGTGGAGCTGTGTGTGTGTGGATGGCGTGGAGTGTGGGGGGGTGAGTGTGGAGCTGTGTGTGTGTGTGGTGTGGAGTGTGAGGGTGAGTGTGGAGCTGTGTGTGGATGGTGTGGAGTGTGGGGGGTGAGTGTGGAGCTGTGTGTGTGTGGATGGTGTGGAGTGTGGGGGGGTGAGTGTGGAGCTGTGTGTGTGTAGATGGTGTGGAGTGTGAGGGTGAGTGTGGAGCTGTGTGTGGATGGTGTGGAGTGTGGGGGGTGAGTGTGGAGCTGTGTCTGTGTGGATGGTGTGGAGTGTGAGGGTGAGTGTGGAGCTGTGTGTGTGGATGGTGTGGAGTGTGAGGGTGAGTGTGGAGCTGTGTGTGTGTGTAGATGGTGTGGAGTGAGTGTTAGGGGTGAGTGTGGAGGTGTGTGTGTGTAGATGGTGTGGAGTGTGAGGGTGAGTGTGGAGCTGTGTGTGGATGGTGTGGAGTGTGGGGGGTGAGTGTGGAGCTGTGTGTGTGGATGGTGTGGAGTGTGAGGGTGAGTGTGGAGCTGTGTGTGTGTGTGGATGGTGTGGAGTGAGTGTTAGGGGTGAGTGTGGAGGTGTGTGTGTGTGGATGGTGTGGAGTGAGTATGAGGGGTGAGTGTGGAGCTGTGTGTGTAGATGGTGTGGAGTGTGAGGGTGAGTGTGGAGCTGTGTGTAGATGGTGTGGAGTGTGGGGGGTGAGTGTGGAGCTGTGTGTGTGTGTGGTGTGGAGTGAGTGTGAGGGTGAGTGTGGAGCTGTGTGTGTGTGTGTGGAGTGTGGGGGGTGAGTGTGGAGCTGTGTGTGTGTGGAGTGTGAGGGTGAGTGTGGAGCTGTGTGTGGATGGTGTGGAGTGAGTGTGAGGGTGAGTGTGGAGCTGTGTGTGTGTGTGGATGGTGTGGAGTGTGAGGGTGAGTGTGGAGCTGTGTGTGTGTGGATGGTGTGGAGTGTTAGCGGTGAGTGTGGAGCTGTGTGTGTGTGGATGGTGTGGAGTGAGTGTGAGGGGTGAGTGTGGAGCTGTGTGTGTGTGGATGGTGTGGAGTGTGGAGGGTGAGTGTGGAGCTGTGTGTGTGTGGATGGTGTGGAGTGAGTGTTAGGGGTGAGTGTGGAGCTGTGTGTGTGTGTGGATGGTGTGGAGTGAGTGTGAGGGGTGAGTGTGGAGCTGTGTGTGTGTGGATGGTGTGGAGTGAGTGTTAGGGGTGAGTGTGGAGCTGTGTGTGTGTGGATGGTGTGGAGTGAGTGTTAGGGGTGAGTGTGGAGCTGTGTGTGTGTGTGGATGGTGTGGAGTGAGTGTGAGGGGTGAGTGTGGAGCTGTGTGTGTGTGGATGGTGTGGAGTGAGTGTTAGGGGTGAGTGTGGAGGTGTGTGTGTGGATGGTGTGGAGTGAGTGTTAGGGGTGAGTGTGGAGCTGTGTGTGTGTGGATGGTGTGGAGTGTGGAGGGTGAGTGTGGAGCTGTGTGTGTGTGGATGGTGTGGAGTGAGTGTTAGAGGTGAGTGTGGAGCTGTGTGTGGATGGTGTGGAGTGAGTATGAGGGGTGAGTGTGGAGCTGTGTGTGTAGATGGTGTGGAGTGTGGAGGGTGAGTGTGGAGCTGTGTGTGTGTGGATGGTGTGGAGTGTGGAGGGTGAGTGTGGAGCTGTGTGTGGATGGTGTGGAGTGAGTGTTAGGGGTGAGTGTGGAGCTGTGTGTGTGTGGATGGTGTGGAGTGAGTGTTAGGGGTGAGTGTGGAGCTGTGTGTGGATGGTGTGGAGTGTGGGGGGTGAGTGTGGAGGTGTGTGTGTGTGTGGTGTGGAGTGTGAAGGTGAGTGTGGAGCTGTGTGTGTGTGGATGGTGTGGAGTGTTGGGGGTGAGTGTGGAGCTGTGTGTAGATGGTGTGGAGTGTGGGGGGTGAGTGTGGAGCTGTGTGTGGATGGTGTGGAGTGAGTGTTAGGGGTGAGTGTGGAGCTGTGTGTGGATGGTGTGGAGTGTGAGGGTGAGTTTGGAGCTGTGTGTGTGTGGTGTGGAGTGAGTGTGAGGGGTGAGTGTGGAGCTGTGTGTGTGGATGGTGTGGAGTGTGAGGGTGAGTGTGGAGCTGTGTGTGTGGATGGTGTGGAGTGTGAGGGTGAGTGTGGAGCTGTGTGTGTGTGGATGGTGTGGAGTGAGTGTTAGGGGTGAGTGTGGAGCTGTGTGTGTGTGGATGGTGTGCAGTGAGTGTGAGGGGTGAGTGTGGAGCTGTGTGTGGATGGTGTGGAGTGTGGAGGGTGAGTGTGGAGCTGTGTGTGTGTGTGGATGGTGTGGAGTGTTGGGGGTGAGTGTGGAGCTGTGTGTAGATGGTGTGGAGTGTGGGGGGTGAGTGTGGAGCTGTGTGTGTGTGGATGGTGTGGAGTGAGTGTTAGGGGTGAGTGTGGAGCTGTGTGTGGATGGTGTGGAGTATGGGGGGTGAGTTTGGAGCTGTGTGTGTGTGGTGTGGAGTGAGTGTGAGGGGTGAGTGTGGAGCTGTGTGTGTGGATGGTGTGGAGTGTGAGGGTGAGTGTGGAGCTGTGTGTGTGGATGGTGTGGAGTGTGAGGGTGAGTGTGGAGCTGTGTGTGTGTGGATGGTGTGGAGTGAGTGTTAGGGGTGAGTGTGGAGCTGTGTGTGTGTGGATGGTGTGCAGTGAGTGTGAGGGGTGAGTGTGGAGCTGTGTGTGGATGGTGTGGAGTGTGGAGGGTGAGTGTGGAGCTGTGTGTGTGTGTGTGGTGTGGAGTGAGTGTTAGGGGTGAGTGTGGAGCTGTGTGTGTGTGGATGGTGTGCAGTGAGTGTTAGGGGTGAGTGTGGAGCTGTGTGTGTGGTGTGGTGAGTGTGGAGCTGTGTGTGTGTGGATGGTGTGGAGTGAGTGTTAGGGGTGAGTGTGGAGCTGTGTGTGGATGGTGTGGAGTGTGAGGGTGAGTATGGAGCTGTGTGTGTGTGGATGGTGTGCAGTGAGTGTTAGGGGTGAGTGTGGAGCTGTGTGTGGATGGTGTGGAGTGTGGAGGGTGAGTGTGGAGCTGTGTGTGTGCGGATGGTGTGGAGTGTGTGGAGCTGTGTGTGTGTGTGGTGTGGAGCGTGAGGGTGAGTGTGGAGCTGTGTGTGTGTGGATGGTGTGGAGTGTGAGGGTGAGTGTGGAGCTGTGTGTGTGTGTGGTGTGGAGTGTGAGGGTGAGTGTGGAGCTGTGTGTGTGTGGATGGTGTGCAGTGAGTGTGAGGGGTGAGTGTGGAGCTGTGTGTGTGTGTGGATGGTGTGCAGTGAGTGTGAGGGTGAGTGTGGAGGTGTGTGTGTGGTTGGTGTGGAGTGTGAGGGTGAGTGTGGAGCTGTGTGTAGATGGTGTGGAGTGTTAGGGGTGAGTGTGGAGCTGTGTGTAGATGGTGTGGAGTGTTAGGGGTGAGTGTGGAGCTGTGTGTGGATGGTGTGGAGTGTGAGGGTGAGTGTGGAGCTGTGTGTGGATGGTGTGGAGTGTGGAGGGTGAGTGTGGAGCTGTGTGTGTGTGTGGATGGTGTGGAGTGAGTATGAGGGGTGAGTGTGGAGCTGTGTGTGGATGGTGTGGAGTGTGGAGGGTGAGTGTGGAGCTGTGTGTGTGTGCAGTGAGTGTGAGGGGTGAGTGTGGAGGTGTGTGTGTGTGGATGGTGTGCAGTGAGTGTTAGGGGTGAGTGTGGAGCTGTGTGTGTGTGGAGTGAGTGTGAGGGGTGAGTGTGGAGGTGTGTGTGTGTGGATGGTGTGCAGTGAGTGTGAGGGGTGAGTGTGGAGCTGTGTGTGTAGATGGTGTGGAGTGTGTGTGTGGATGGTGTGCAGTGAGTGTTAGGGGTGAGTGTGGAGGTGTGTGTGTGTGGATGGTGTGGAGTGAGTGTTAGGGGTGAGTGTGGAGCTGTCTGTGTGTGGATGGTGTGGAGTGTGGAGGGTGAGTGTGGAGCTGTGTGTGTGTGTGGTGTGCAGTGAGTGTGAGGGGTGAGTGTGGAGCTGTGTGTAGATGGTGTGGAGTGTGTGTGGATGGTGTGCAGTAAGTGTGAGGGGTGAGTGTGGAGGTGTGTGTGTGGATGGTGTGGAGTGTGGAGGTGTGGATGGTGTGCAGTGAGTGTGAGGGGTGAGTGTGGAGGTGTGTGTGTGTGGATGGTGTGCAGTGAGTGTGAGGGTGAGTGTGGAGCTGTGTGTGTGTGGAGTGAGTGTGAGGGGTGAGTGTGGAGCTGTGTGTGTAGATGGTGTGGAGTGTGTGTGTGGATGGTGTGCAGTGAGTGTGAGGGTGAGTGTGGAGCTGTGTGTGTGTGCAGTGAGTGTGAGGGGTGAGTGTGGAGCTGTGTGTGTGTGTGGTGTGCAGTGAGTGTGAGGGTGAGTGTGGAGCTGTGTGTGTGTGCAGTGAGTGTGAGGGGTGAGTGTGGAGCTGTGTGTGTGGTGTGCAGTGAGTGTGAGGGTGAGTGTGGAGCTGTGTGTGTGTGCAGTGAGTGTGAGGGGTGAGTGTGGACCTGTGTGTGTAGATGGTGTGGAGTGTGTGTGGATGGTGTGCAGTGAGTGTGAGGGTGAGTGTGGAGGTGTGTGTGTGTGTGGATGGTGTGCAGTGAGTGTGAGGGGTGAGTGTGGAGCTGTGTGTGTAGATGGTGTGGAGTGTGTGTGGATGGTGTGCAGTGAGTGTGAGGGTGAGTGTGGAGGTGTGTGTGTGGTGTGCAGTGAGTGTGAGGGTGAGTGTGGAGCTGTGTGTAGATGGTGTGGAGTGTTAGGGGTGAGTGTGGAGCTGTGTGTGTGTGGATGGTGTGGAGTGAGTGTTAGGGGTGAGTGTGGAGCTGTGTGTGTGTGGATGGTGTGCAGTGAGTGTTAGGGGTGAGTGTGGAGCTGTGTGTGTGTGGATGGTGTGCAGTGAGTGTGAGGGGTGAGTGTGGAGCTGTGTGTGTGTGGATGGTGTGCAGTGAGTGTTAGGGGTGAGTGTGGAGCTGTGTGTGTGTGGATGGTGTGCAGTGAGTGTTAGGGGTGAGTGTGGAGCTGTGTGTGTGTGGATGGTGTGCAGTGAGTGTTAGGGGTGAGTGTGGAGCTGTGTGTGTGTGGATGGTGTGGAGTGTGAGGGTGAGTGTGGAGCTGTGTGTAGATGGTGTGGAGTGTTAGGGGTGAGTGTGGAGCTGTGTGTGTGTGGATGGTGTGGAGTGAGTGTTAGGGGTGAGTGTGGAGCTGTGTGTGTGTGGATGGTGTGCAGTGAGTGTTAGGGGTGAGTGTGGAGCTGTGTGTGTGTGGATGGTGTGCAGTGAGTGTTAGGGGTGAGTGTGGAGCTGTGTGTGTGTGGATGGTATGGAGTGTGAGGGTGAGTGTGGAGCTGTGTGTAGATGGTGTGGAGTGTTAGGGGTGAGTGTGGAGCTGTGTGTGTGTGGATGGTGTGCAGTGAGTGTTAGGGGTGAGTGTGGAGGTGTTTCCCTGTGGCTGGGGGTCCTTTAATGGACAGGGACTGGCAGAAAAGTGAAGCCGCTCCCTGGATAGGGCACCAGCCTGGGATCTTCCCGCAGGAGGGGCATGGACATTCCTGCCATATTTCAGGTGTAGTCATGTTTATCCACAGATGCTCCCTGCCTCCCCTTGTTGGGCACCAACTGCCAAGAACCAAAGCTGCCCTCCCAGCTCCTCCCAGTCCCTGAGCATCAGGGAATGGTGGCCCCGGACAATGCGTGTCAGTGGCGCTGAGGAGCTGGAGCCCCCTGCAGGCGTGAACTCACCGTGTGACCACGGGGTGCAGCGCGTGGTTGGGTCCGAAGCAGCTGAGGCTCCCGCGCCCACGCAGCCCTGTGCGGCCCATGGGGTTCCTGGGAGGCAGAGGGTCGACTTACCCTGCCATCCACCACTGGGGGAGCAGGACAGGGCAGGGAGCGTGACTGAGTGGGGACAGCGGGCGTCAGGAGCCGGCGCACAGGGGGACAGTGTGCTAGCTTCTTTGGGAGCCTGCCCTGGCATAAGGAGGAGGATCCCTTTGGCACCCCAAGGAGTAAGACGATGGCTCTGAGTTACCTTGGGGTCACCTGGTGGGGAAGGGCCTCCCTGGCAGCAGAAGTGTGGCCAATTCAGCTGGCCAGGGGCTAACGTGGCCACCTTCTCCCCACGGAGCATGGCACTGGCCAACTGCTGGGGCCAGCACACTGCGTCCAAATGCCCCAGCACGAGAGGGCATGGCCTCCTCCCTGGCAGCCTTGAGAGGGGCAGTGTGGGAGCCAGACAGGACACCAGAGGCCCTGCGTCCACGTGGCCACACAGACCCCCAGCAGAGCACACTAGCCAGGATGGCAGGAGCCACAGACGCTTCCCATCCGGCCAGGCTGGTTTCCCCAACACCACCAGCTCCCAGGTGAAACAGCAAGTTCTAGAAAAGGACGAGTTCCTGTGAATGCATCACTAAGGAAGAAGGAAGACGCGCACCAGGCTACTGTATGGTGGGGCGCCACGTCTACAGAAGGTCCCCACCACTGTCTCCGCCAGCATTCCCACCACCGTCCCCTCTGGCGTCTCTGCCACCGTCCCCGCCAGCATTCTCCAACACCATTCCTGCCACCATCCCCTCCGGCGTCCCCGCCAGCATTCCCGCCAGCATCCCGCCAAGTCCAGCGTCCCTGCCACTGTCCCCGCCACCATCCCCGCCAGCATCCCCGCCACGGTCCCTGCCACAGAGGGGACAGTGCTATTGTTCCTCCACCCGGCCACTCTGACCTCCAAACCCCACCAGAGCTGCAGCCTCCAACCCATCCCTGACAGGTGTCCTCTCTGCACAGCCTGGACTCCAGGCCACATGCCACCTCCCCTTGCCCTCCCATTTATCTCCTCACCTCCTCTGAGCTGGCCTGACTGTTCCCAGGGGAGCCCCCACCTCAGCTCTGCCTGTGCTCCCCACTCCTGCTGCCCTCCCCACCCTCAACTGAGGCCACCGGCACTCACCCCCACCCCACCTCGTGGGGCTCCCCGGCCTAGGCAGGCGCCCTCCAACCCATCAGCATGTGGACCTGAGCCTGGACCCCTGCATCTCTTTCTCTCTTCTCTGTCCCCTTCACTTGCTGGCCCTCCAGGCTCCTCATCAGCTGCCACCTGTGGATGGACGACCCAGGAAGAACACCAGCCCAGCTGCACCCTGAGTTCCAAGTCAGCCCCCACTGCCCACTTCCTCACGGATCACAGGCCGACTTTCAAGCTCCACAGGCCAGCCGACACCAGGGCTCCCTCACACAGGGTGGGCAGCAGCTCCCGGCTCCCTGCACTCTCCCCCCACCACCTGCCGCCCTGAGAGTCCTGCTAGCTCCAGCGTTGTGGCATCCTCCTGAGTCCATGCGGCCATGTGCGGCTGCCCCAGGAGACCCAACCACCTCTAGCACCAGCTGCCCCCTCCAGGCCTGCACCACCGTCCCCGACTCTGCCTGCGTGGCAGCCTCAAGCTGGCCTCCCTGCCTCCGCCAGCCCCTCCTCTCTGTTGCCCCCCACCCGCTGCCACCCTGCCCCTTCCCAGCTGTCAGGGGCCCCAGCTCTCATCACGCCTCTGCACAGACCTGCCCGTGCCCACAGCACTCAAAGTGCAATCCACACTGGAATTTGCCCAGTGTGTGGATCCCACCTGGCCAGGCCTCTCAGACACCCCCCGAAGCTCACCCTGCAGCCTCCCCTGTGGCTGGGAGCCTTGCATGGTGGGGCCCAGGCAGTCTCCCCAGAAGCTGCTCAGAAACCAGAGCCACAGCCCCGCCAAGTGGCAGAGCCGGCACTGCATGCAGCAAGGCCCGGAGACCTTGGCTGGAAGTTGGGGCTCAGTCAGGGTTCCTTCGAGGGCCACTACCCCCACCCCCTGCCAAGCCCGCCTCTCCCTCCTGTCCACCCTGCCCATTCTCCTGCCTGCATTCACGCCCCTGTGTGGGCAGAACCCAGAACCAAGGCCACCGACGAATTCCGCACCAGGTGGAGCTGCATTGAACCCCGGAAGGACAGAAAGGCAGGGGCCCTGCTGCTGGGAGCAAGGCTGCCTTGGTCTCCCCGTAACTGCTGTTCACAGTGAGCCCGGCGCATCAGTCTAGAGGCTCACAGAGGAGGCCACACGCTCCTCCTGGCACAAGTCACCCCCACAGGAAGCTCTGGGCCCCTGTCATCTCGCCTTGCTGTCATCTCGCTGTCCCTGTGCCTAGTGGGCCAGTGTCAGAGCCAGGAGGAAGGTGAGGGCCTGCCGGCTCCACCATTAAGCCACGTGCATGCCTGCTCCTGCCAGGAAGGAAAAACGCTCCCCGCACTTGCTCCTCAGTCAGCCTGAGTGGGCAGGCAGCAGGGGCTTCAGACCACCATGCGGCCCTCCCCCATGTGTGTCTCAAAGCCCCTGTTCCCACAGCCCCCACCCACACCCAAGCCTCCAGTTGCTCTCACTATGCCCTGATCTCAGAGCCCTGGTCGTTACCTTGCCCACATGGTTCTAACCCCTCATCTCCCTGCCACACGCCCTGTGGCTCCATCACAGTCAAGGTATCGGCCCTTCCATAAACCTCCCCACACAACCCCAAAGCACAAAAGCAGCAACACTCGGCAGCAGGAATCACCTTTCACTCATTCATCCACTTGCAGCTTCGGAAATGCAGGTGGGTGGGGAGGGGAGGGCTGGCCTGGGGGCTGAACATGGCAGAATCTTTGCTAACCTGACCTCAATCCGTTTTGGAAAGAGGCAGCAAGACAAGCTCAGATGGAGTGGGTTCAAAGGAGGAAGGGACGAGCAGGAAGGGGCAGAGAAAGGGCTGCTTTAAAGAGTCTGTGTCAGCAGGAGCAGCACAAGAGGGCAGGAGGGCAGGGCATTCCAGGGATGAGGCCCTTGAGGGGCAATGGGAGGCGGGTCTGGCATGAGGGTGCATGGGGTGAACAATCCTACACAATACGTCCTTCCCAGAACCTCAGGACCTGGCCGTGTTCAGAAATACTCTCTGCAGGTGTAATTGCTTCAGATGAAGTTACCTTGGAATAGTGTCGGCCCCAAACCCGGTGTGATTTCTAATCCTAAGAACAGAAGAGACACAGACACATGCAGGGAGAGCCCACGTAGCTGGGGAGGCAGAGATCAAGGTGATGCGCCCACAAGCCAAGGAATGCAAAGGGCTGCCAGGAACACCAGGAGCTGGAGAGGCCGGGAGGAGTCTCCCCGCAAGCCCGCAGAGGGAGTGTGGCCCTGCCCACCCTTGATTTCAGACTCTTGGCCCCCAGAACTGTGAGACAGATAATCCATTTATGTTAAGCCCCCAGTTTTTTGGTACGTTGTTATAACAATCACGGAAAACTAATATGGTGAGGGGTCTGGACCCAGACAGATGTGGGGTCAGTCACCTTAGAAAGGGCATCCGAGTGTGTGAGTGACTGAGTCAGACAAGCTCACACAGGCTGCCGTTGTGAATGGGCCAAGACAGTTAGGGTTAGGGTTAGGGTTAGGGGATAAGGTTAGGGTTAGGGTTAGGGTTAGGGGATAGGGTTAGGGTTAGGGGTAGGGGTAGGGGTAGGGGATAAGGTTAGGGTTAGGGTTAGGGTTAGGGGATAAGGTTAGGGTTAGGGTTAGGGGATAAGGTTAGGGTTAGGGTTAGGGTTAGGGTTAGGGTTAGGGGATAGGTTAGGGTTAGGGTTAGGGTTAGGGGATAAGGTTAGGGTTAGGGTTAGGGTTAGGGTTAGGGTTAGGGTTAGGGGCTGGGGTTAGGGTTAGGGGATAAGGTTAGGGTTAGGGTTAGGGTTAGGGTTAGGGGTTAGGGGTTGGGGTTAGGGTTAGGGGTTAGGGTTAGGGTTAGGGGTTAGGGTTAGGGTTAGGGTTAGGGTTAGGGTTAGGGGTTAGGGTTAGGGGTTGGGGTTAGGGTTAGGGTTAGGGTTAGGGGCTGGGGTTAGGGTTAGGGTTACAGTCAAGCAGCTGCCACAATGCAGGGCAGAGATGGGAGCCACTGAGGATACCTCAATTTCAAGAATCAGAGTGATGCCAATCACACTCCAATAACAAATGCTATAACTAGGAGGTGGTAAGGAAAAATGGCTTCAAAACTGAAAGTACACTGCTAAATAATCAAATGAAGATTACGCTGGGTTGGTGGCTCACACCTGTCATCCCAGCACTTAGGGAGGCAGAGGCAGGAGGATAGCTTGAGCCCAGGACCTCACGACCTGTCTGGGCAATAGAGCGAGACCTCATTTCCACAAAAAGAAAGAGCAAAAAGTGTAAAACAAAGATTATAATGAAATTTATAAAGTAAAAATTAAAATCCCTACACATCAAAACTTAAGGGATACAGACAACCAGGTCTTAGAGATAATTTATAGTCTTAGGTACCCTTATTAGAAAACCAGAACAATTGAATAAAAATGAACTTTAACACACAAATCAAGAGCAAATCCATAAGAAGTAGAAAAGAAGGAAAGATAACAATAAAAGCGAAAATGGATGAGATAGAAAAATTAAGATAACAAATCCAAAAGTTTGTTTTTTGAAAAGATTATCAAATTAACCACTGGCAAGAACAACTGAGGAAAACAAAAGAAGAGAAATACTTAATAAATATCAATGTTCAAAAGATAAATTACTGTACATTTATATTAGAGATTTTTTTTTTTTTGAGATGGAGTTTCGCTCTTGTTACCCAGGCTGGAGTGCAATGGCGCGATCTCGGCTCACCGCAACCTCCGCCCCCTGGGTTCAGGCAATTCTCCTGCCTCAGCCTCCCGAGTAGCTGGGATTACAGGCACACGCCACCATGCCCAGCTAATCTTTTGTATTCTTAGTAGAGACGGGGTTTCACCATGTTGACCAGGATGGTCTCGATCTCTTGACCTCGTGTCATAAAGAATATTATGGACATCTGTAACATAATACATTTGAAAATTTAGATGAAATGATAGTTTTCCAGAAAACTTACAATTACTAAAAAGGACCTAAGAAGAAATAGGAAATAAGGTTCCAAAACTCACTATGGTAAATGAAGTAGTGAGAAATCCACTTACTCAAAATATGTGAGACCTCACTATTTTATAGGTATTGTCAGACTTTAAGGAACAAATAATTATCTCCACCTCATTCAAATGGTTCCAAAGAACAGAAAAGAAGGCAAGTTTCCCAGCTCATCTGTTGAGATTGGTACAACCTCATATCAAAACCAAAGTAAGATAGTACAAGAAATATGAATCATAGGCAAATTCCACTTTCGAACACAGGTTTTTTAAAATCTTAAATAAAATGTTAGTAAATTAACTCCAGCAGTGTATTAAATATAACAGAAAAGTTTATTCCAGGAATGCAAGGATGGCTCAATACCAAAGAAGCTATAAAAATAATTCATACACTAATTGGCTAAAGAGAAACATCTTGTAATTGTCTCAATTGATGGCAGAAGAACCATTTAGTAGCATTCAACTCCTGACAAGCTGGGACTAGATAGAAACACTCCTAATCTCATAAAAAAGTAATTGTAAATGTCTTCAGTAAATACCATACTTAATGGTGAAATGTTGATAGCATTCCCATTAAGTCAGAAACAATTTATAGAAGATTCATTATCATAACATTGTTCATTGTGCCACATTTTTTAATAAATATAATACAATTCCTATCGATGGATTTGTCATGAAGCTAGACAAACTGGTTTTTAAACTCACAGAAAAGCCAAAGCGTCAAGAGTAGGAAAGGCCAGTTTAAAGACATGCTACCCTAGAGTCAGGACTAGTTCAAAGCTGTGGCAAACAGTGGCATGACGGAGATGAGTGGGACGGAACCCACACAGGGTTGAAACAGGGGCAGACAGAGCTATGAAGAAAGAGCCAGACCTCAGGGGAGGAGCCAGACCTCAGGGGAGGAGCCACATGTTAGGGGAGGAGCCAGACCTCAGGGGAGGAGCGAGACCTCAGGGGAGGAGCCACATGTCAGGGGAGGAGTCACACCTCAGGGGAGGAGCCAGACCTCAGGGGAGGAGCCAGACCTCAGGGGAGGAGCCACATGTCAGGGGAGGAGCCAGACCTCAGGGGAGGAGCCAGACCTCAGGGGAGGAGTCACACCTCAGGGCAGAAGCTACACCTCAAGGGAGGAGCTACACTTCAGGGGAGGAGCCAGACCTCAGGGGAGGAGCCAGACCTCAGGGGAGGAGCCAGATGTCAGGGGAGGAGCCAGATGTCAGGGGAGGAGCCAGACCTCAGGGGAGGAGCCACATGTCAGGGGAGGAGTCACACCTCAGGGCAGAAGCTACACCTCAAGGGAGGAGCTACACTTCAGGGGAGGAGCCAGACCTCAACGGAGGAGCCACATGTCAGGGGAGGAGCCAGACCTTAGCCGGAAATGAAGTTGGGCTGTTCATTTTCTGTGCAAATTCACAAAATAAATCAGACCCCTCCTCACACATTATACAAGCAGCATCCAGCTGTATTAAAGACTCAGTGAAGGCCGGGCGTGCTGGCTTAGGCCTATAATCCCAGCACTTTGGGAGGCCGAGGTGGGTGGATCACGAGGTCAAGAGATCAAGACCATCCTGGTCAACGAGTGAAACCCCGTCTCTACTAAAAATACAAAAATTAGCTGGGCATGGTGGCGCACCTGTAATCCCAGCTACTCAGGAGGGTGAGGCAGGAGAATTGCTTGAACCCAGAAGGTGGAGGTTGCGGTGAGCCGAGATCGTGCCATTGCACTCCAGCCTGGGTAACAACAGCGAAACTCCATCTCAAAAAAAAGACTCAGTGAAAAAAACTAATTTTAAAATGTATCAAACAGATATAGAAAAGTGTGTCTTTATAATTTCATAGAAAGAAAATAAACTTAAGATAATGAAAATACGATTCCTAAGTTCACGGCAGAACACGGTGCCTACAGAAAGTCCTCTTCTGCTCTACTGAAGCCCACGTGGCTGCCATGTCCTGCCAAGTCCTGATGTGCCTGCCTGTGTGGCCTGCGTGGCATTCCCCCGTGAGAATGGGTGCTTGCACCTTGTTGCCCAAGCCAGGCACCTGCTGCTCTCCTCGTCAGCTTCCCACAGCCACCAGATGCACCTCCCTAACACCCCCTTGCCCATCCCACATACCCCCAACACCAGAGCGGGCCACCTGCAGCTGCAGCCACCTGGCCAGGATCTCTGCTCTCAGGCCCCGCCGCCTCCTACCACCTCCTTACTCGACCTCCGGCTCCAGGCGGAGGAGCCCATGCCCTATTCCAGAGCATTCTGCAAAGGCCTGCCACACAGTCCCCCCCTCCTTCAGACCCCTCGGCTCTTCTGCTCCACAGTGCACCCCCACATCCCGGGAGCCCCCCAACCCTGGGTTCTGGTGGCCCCTCCCACACCTTCCCCCTACGACAGGGTCAAGACCCCCAGGCTCCTTCCCTCCAGGGCACTTGTAGGCACTCTCAGGTCACTGACACCTTTACTTTGGGTTCCCTCGCCTGTGTGACAGGTGCAGTGCCGATCCTGTGGAGAGCACGACGCCAGGTGAGCCCACCAGCACCCATCCTGGGTCCCCTCCCTGCCGCATGGCCCCTGCCCGTCCTCCAAGGTGCCCTTTCCCAGCACAGCCGTCCCCAGGAACCACAGACAAGTCCAAGCCCTGGGTTATGGCAGGGGCCATGGGGCAGGGCCTGGCAGAGGCCAGCGGGGTGAGTCCTGCCCTCCCATGCTCAGTCCTGGCGGCTGGGGGACACTGGGAGCTGATGTTTTCTTCTCTTTCGTGGCTCTCGTTCTTTTTTTTTTAATCAGAAAAAATGCCTCCTTTGCTGAGAGAGGAAACCTGCCCCAAATGCAAACCTCAAAGGCTGACAGGGCAGGGCCCGCAGGGGACACACTCAGAGGGGCACACCCCAAAGGCTGACAGGGCAAAGACCGAGGGGGACACACTCAGAGGGGCACACCCAAAAGGCTGACAGGGCAGGGCCCACAGGGGCAGACTCACAGGGGCACACCCCGAAGGCTGACGGGGCAGAGACCGAGGGGGACACAGTCACAGGGGCACACCCCAAAAAGGCTGACAGGGCAGGGACCAAGGGGGACATACTCACAGGGGCAAACCCCAAAGGCTGACAGGGCAGGGCCTGCAGGGGACACACTCACAGGGGCAAACCTCAAAGGCTGACAGGGCAGGGCCCGCAGGGGACACACTCACAGGGGCACACCCCGAAGGCTGACGGGGCAGAGACAGAGGGGGACACACTCACAGGGGCACACCCCAAAGGCTGGTGGGGTGGGGACCATGGAGGGCACACTCACAGGGGCACACCCCAAAGGCTGACGGGGCAGAGACCAAGGGGGACACACTCACAGGGGCAAACCCCAAAGGCTGACAGGGCAGAGACCGAGGGGGACACACTCACAGGGGCAAAACCCAAAGGCTGACAGGGCAGAGACTGAGGGGGACACAGTCACAGGGGCACACCCCAAAGGCTGGTGGGGTGGGGACCATGGAGGGCACACTCACAGGGGCAGTCCGGCCTGCACCACGTATGGCCCATGGAAGCTCTGGCGGTCCCTCAGGCCATCCACTGCGTTGTACTGGATGGTGGACAGCAGCTCCATGGCACTGGGAGCAGAGAAGGCACATCTGTGTCCCAGTGTGGTAGGCAGGACAGAGCAGACAGGCAGGGGACACCCCCACCCCGGGGCCCAGCCAAGTGGCTGCAGGCTGGGTGCATGGGACAGGGGAAGCTGGGCCAGGCACCTCCAGGCCCCCACAAGCCCCTCCTGCTCACCCAGGCCTCCCCGGGCTGGGCCCTGACTGGGGTTCTCAGGGAATCCCCCAGGAGGCCTTAGGTTTGGAGCCTCTTGGGGGGCCGGCTGGGAGCATGGACAGCGGCTGGCACTCACTCTCCCACGGGGTCCGTGGCGGCTGCGTCCTTCCTCTCCGCCGTGTAAAAGGGCGGATCGTAGATCAGGAACTCCGTCTGTTGCAAAACAGGGTTTTCCCCCAGATTTGCACCCCCACTGCAAGCTGACCCAGGCACCAGGGCAGAAGGGCAGCTCCTGGCCACAGCAGCTGCTCAGCTGGGTCTGAACCTGACCCCGACATCCCAACATGCAGGCAGAGCTCCAAGCTGGGCAGAGCCGGGGGCTCAGCTCAAGGACCCCAACCCTGGGCCAGCCGAGGGGCAGGCCGCTGTGACTGGGGGCCTGGGGGTTCTCCCCAGAGTGGGGCGGGAGCTAAGCTAGAACCTAGAGGCAGGGAGGATTCTGTGTGATGGAGACCGAGGGAAAGCAGCTGAAGCAGCAGCCTGAAATGTTCCAGAACGGCCAGAGAGAAGCTCTGCAGCAGGAGGACAGGGGTCCCCCGGGGCCATTAGCCACCTCTCTGTCTCTGTGTCTCTGCCTCTTCCATGTCTGGCACCCAGAAACGGGACAGAGCCATTCATGAGGGTGGGCGGGGTCTAGGTACAGGGCATGACTGGGGGAATGGGGCGGAGGCTGGGCCTGGGACGGCCATGGGAGCAGCGGGAGCCTCAGGCTCTGTGGGGGTCAGACTGCCCCCAGGCTGCTCCACCACCTCCAGCTGTGAGGCTTCTGTGACTTGACTTCTCTGTGCCTTAGTTTCCTTAACTGTCACACAGGCACTGCTGGACACACAGATCCCCTGTGACTGCAGTGGCCAGGAGCCAGGATTAACACTGGACGGAAGGGGACAGGCTGCCCTCCCTCCCCAGTGGTGCAGCCACTCCGCCTGCTTGGCGTCGGGCAGGCGCTCACCTCCCAGGGCACCTTCTCGTTGGGCACAGGGAAGCGCGTGACGGGGCAGCTGGGGTAGAGGAGGTGCCGGGCGCTCACATGGTAGCCATCGCACCGCTCCTCCATCTTCTTCCCAGCTCCCAGCTCAGCATCTGTCTCCTCCGAGGCCTTCTGGGAGGCTGGGGACAGTCAGGAGGCCGTGAGGTGAGGCCGAGCCCAGGCTCAGGTGCCCACCCGCAGGACAGGGACTTCCTCTGCAGTCCTTTGGACAAAACATCTCGGCTGCCTCCACCTCCCCAAGCCCAAACGGCCATGCAGGTCGAACACCAGCTCTGAAGTGGGTGGAGCCCCCAGGGAGGGCGGACGTCGGAGGTCAGGGCAGTGTCCCCATGGACACCTGCCTCTTCGTGCAGCGGCAATCAGGGACCTCAGTAATGAGCTGAACGCACAGGGCAGCCACCGAGGGCAAATGTGCTCCCTGGGGGCCGGCGAGACCCCGCGGCCTGAGGAAGGCCACCTATGTCCATTTCTTAGCGGGGTGCCAATTCAGAAAAGCAGACTTTGCTTCCCGTCGCTTGGCCACGTGACCGGGTTCAGACGAGGTCTGCAGCACCCCGACTCTGCAGCAGGGTGTGTGGGAAGCTCAGGGTCCCTGGGCCAGTCCTCCCCAAGGACGTCCGGGAGCCTGGTCGGGCCAGGGATTGGGTGGGGCCTCGGCGGCCGGTGCGGGCATTGGTGGGCGGGCTGAGTTCCTGAGGGCACTGGCGCTGCTGGGCCTGGGATAGGCTGCAGCCAATGCCTTCCTCCTGTCAAGAGCGCCCCCAGCTACCTCTCCTCCCAACTTACCCCAGACCCAAAAGCACACAGGTGGGTGGAGACCAGCTGCTGGCCTGGCCACTCACCCAGAGTGGGGACGTCCGCCTCCGAGCCGAAGCCGCTGTCCCGCAGCGTCCTCACGATCCAGTGCAGGGCTCGGGCCGTCTGGGCCACCTGGAAGGCACCGCCCGTGGCACCATGAGCACCTGCTACCCACACACACGGCACACACCCCACTGTCCACTGTGCCCTCGCTCCCCTGGCCGGGAGCCCCACCCCTGTCCCTCAGCCCCCATGCCCTTTGAAAGTCAGACACCACCTCCTCCCCAGGCGGCCACCAAGCCAGCCAGGACACTGCCCAGGACCCACCCCACCCCACTCTGTGTGTGACTGCCAAGTCACACGTCTGAAGGCCCAGCCTGCCCGAGAGATACAACAGTGGGACTGTCACTGGACTGGGCAAGCCAAAGAAGGGAACAGTGTGAAGCCGCAGTCAGGCCATTCTGCACCGCAGGGAGAGGCCACTGGCCGTCAGAGCCCGACGCTTCCAGGGCTCCTGCGCCTCCCAGAAGGGACCTCCCCAGAGGCTGACGCACCCACCACAGCGACAGCAGGAAATGTCTGACTCCTGTGGCCAGCACTGGGTACCCTGTCAAGGGTCCCAGCAAGGTCGAGATGTGGGGAGAGGCAGCCTGGGCAGACCCCCAGGTGCTGCAGGCAGGGCTGGTGGATGGTGGACGCCCCAGCAGCACAGCAAGGCTGGGAGCAGCAGTACTGGGAGGCTGAGCCGTCCGAGGACTCAGCGCTGACCGCAGGGGCTGCTGTGGCTGCAGGGCAGTGGCTGGAAAGCAGGCCCAGCCTGGCTGGTGGCCGTGGATGGGGTGGGGCAGGCAGAGCCTCAGAGACTGTCTCTAAGTCCTCACACTTCAGTCCCGTGGCCTCTCCAGGGCTCAGGTACAGTCCTGCAGCCTCCTCAGAGGCGGGGAGGGGACGAGCATTCCATCCCCAGGAGCAGCCGGGAGCACAGCCCAGCCATGGGGGCCTCTGTGCACACAGGAGGAGCTCAGCTACGAGACACTCAGGCGGGGCTTTCTGGAGGACACACGGGGCACCTCTTCCGCTGGGAACGGCTGCCCGATGTTCCGGCCTCCTCACCAACGCTTGTCAGAGTGCTGCTTCCCGGTGCCACCGCAGGGCAGAGCCACCTGCCAGGCCCAGGGACTACACCTCCTGAGTGGAGGCCCGGACCTCAGACCCACCTGCTCCTCCAGGGAGGCCAACCTCTGCTCCATGGAGCCCGACCTCTTCAGCGGGTCCAGGTCCAGCAGGTCCACCATGGCATCAACCCTGAAAGAGGAAGCAGCTGAGCTGGGTGCACCAGGCCTCAGGCCCCAGGAGCACCACGCCGCTCTGCGGACGCCCACCAGGCCTTGGCTTCCTCTTAACATGAAACTTTCTAGCATGCATTGCTCCCAGAGAACCAAACTGCCCAGGCCCCAAAGGGGAAGACGAACAGCCCAGGCTCCCAGGCTCTGGCGAACTGTCCCTCCCAGGAGAGAGGCGCAGGCGAGTGAAGGCGGCAGGTGAGTGAAGAGAGGGGGAGGCGAGTGAAGAGAGGGGGGGAGATGAGTGAGGCGGGGAGGTGAGTGAAGAGAGAGGGGCAGGGGAGCCCCCCAGACCCCCAGGCCTGCCTGAGCCCACTGGTGCCTGTGGACCTGCCGGAGGCCCCCCCGGGTCCCGCAGGCCCGCCCGAGCCCCGCACTTATTGCCGATGTCCTCGATCTTCTGCTCAGGCCGCTGCTTCTGCTGGATCTGCTGGTGCTGCAGGTAGTTCTCCTTCAGGTACAGCTCCCAGGACAGCAGGGCCACCTCCTCGTTCTTCTCCAGCTTGTTCTCTGTCAGGGTAGGGGACACACAGGGGGTCCTGCTATCCTCAGGAGGTGGAGCCCAAAGCCCTGACCCATCCGGGGGCCTTGGGGGCGGGGGCTGGTCCTGAGTGGCAGGAGGAGCCAGCCACACACCTGCCCCGACGGGGCCTCTGGGCTCCGTCCCCAGCACTCGCTCAAGGCCAGCAGAAGGCCAGCAGCCTGAGTGGCCTTCATGCCTGCCCAGTGCCCAGGGTTCTGGGTGGAGCTGCCGCACCACCGCAACCCGCTCTGCTCCTGGGTGGGCGGCAGATGCAGGAGGGGGATGGGGGCTGCCTTACTGAGCTGCTTGTGCCTCTTGGCCGGGGTCTTCAGGACCACCCTCTTGATGAAGAGCTGCAGGTGGCTGAGCAGGATGAAGGGGGGCGGTGCGGGGGGCCGGCCGTGGTACTCCTCGATCAGGTCATGGCGCTGGAACTTCCAGATCTGGTCCGTGTGTTCCTGCACCTGCTGGAAGGTGTAGCTGTCGGGAGGAGAGAATGACAGCTCGAGGTCAGGGTGTTCACCGAGAACAGACCAGATCACCACCCACGTGCCCACAGCGATGCCATGGAGAGCGGAGCCACACCACACAGGAGGCCAGCTCCAGGTGCAGAACTCAGCCCGCGACCCTCTCAATTCCAGGTTTCCTGGGAACCAAGGCAAGCCTTGGCAGCTTAAAGGAACCAGACTCTTCTCTCCGTTCTGGGGGTCAGAGTTTCCCTGGGTTAAAACTAAGGCTCAGCAGGGCTGTGCACCCCTCGCAGGCCAGGAGCCTCCACGCCTTGCCTCTCCCGCCTTCCTGAGGCTGCCTGCACTCCTGGGCCTGGGGCCTCACCACCACCCAAGGCCCATTGCCACTGTCGTGTTCCTTCTCTGCCTCCCTCTTCCACGGCCCCTCGTGACAATGTCGGGCCCAAGCAGACAACCCCAGGTAATTTCCCCTCTCAGGCCCCTCCACTCGAGCCCATCCTCCCGGTCCCTTTTGCCATATAAGGCCCCATAGCCACAGGGCTAGACTGCAGATATCCCTGGGGCTGCTACTCAATCTGCCACACATGCCACAAATACCAGGCCCAGAGGTGGACACGCATGTGCAGACCCCCAAATCATCAAAGCATGGCACAAATACCAGGCCCAGAGGAGGTGGACACGCATGTGCAGACCCCCAAACCATCAAAGCATGGCACAAATACCAGGCCCAGAGGTGGACACGCATGTGCAGACCCCCAAATCATCAAAGCATGGCACAAATACCAGGCCCAGAGGAGGTGGACACGCATGTGCAGACCCCCAAAACCATCAAAGCATGGCACAAATACCAGGCCCAGAGGTGGACACGCATGTGCAGACCCCCAAATCATCAAAGCATGGCACAAATACCAGGCCCAGAGGAGGTGGACACGCATGTGCAGACCCCCAAAACCATCAAAGCATGCCACAAATACCAGGCCCAGAGGTGGACACGCATGTGCAGACCCCCAAATCATCAAAGCATGGCACAAATACCAGGCCCAGAGGAGGTGGACACGCATGTGCAGACCCCCAAAACCATCAAAGCATGGCACAAATACCAGGCCCAGAGGTGGACACGCATGTGCAGACCCCCAAATCATCAAAGCATGGCACAAATACCAGGCCCAGAGGAGGTGGACACGCATGTGCAGACCCCCAAACCATCAAAGCATGCCACAAATACCAGGCCCAGAGGAGGTGGACACGCATGTGCAGACCCCCAAACCATCAAAGCATGGCATAAATACCAGGCCCAGAGGAGGAGGACATGCATGTGCAGACCCCCAAAACCATCAAAGCATGGCAAGACGTGCAGCGGAAGAAGCCTCTGATGGCGTGGGAGGCCACACAGAGCCATCCACAGGTGGATCACGCCACAGGTGGGAAGGCGCCACGGAGCCAGCAGAGTCCAAGGCACACGGTGAGGCAACAGGAACACGCCCAGACCTGGGGAACTGGCCCCACAGAGCTGAGGAACACAGGGACTAGCAGAAGTGCCCCCACTTACAGACAGCAGATAGAAAAAGGAAGTGCCTGCTGGGATGTGAGATTCGCTCATGTGAGCTTTTGGCACTGGCTGAACCAACGTGGCCAAGTGGAGTCTGCATGACCCGAGCTGACGTCACAGCCAGATTTTCCAGCCATGTCTCGCTAACCCTGCCCAAATGTGCACGAGACCCATGAGGAGGCACAGAGAGGTCACAGCACATGCCCCATCTGGACCGTGCACACCCCCTTTTCCTCCACCAGCCACCTGCTAATCCAAGAACCCACCCCAAACCTTCCCTAATAAAAACTCTGCATTAAAGCCAGTGCAGGGAGACAGATGTCAGCTGTCCCCCGTGTCCTAGAATAAAAAGCTTTTCTCTTTTCTCAAAAACCCGGTGTCAAAGTATCAGCTCCCAGCACATGGAGCAGTGAGCCCTTTTGCTCAGTAACAGGGAGACATGGGGGCAGAGGCCGGCGGGTGATGAGCGGACGGCCCTGAGCAGCCAGCAGCCCAGGCAAACTCCCAGGTAGAGCCGTGCGCTCGTGGACAGCCCTGCAAAGGGAACGAGGCTGACAGCAGCGACCCTGCTCTCAGGAGAAGGCTGCCTCCACAGTAGCGCCACAAGCAGGGCCCAGGTGGATCTGTGGCACCACAGGTCCCCAGCAGCCACGAGGACAGACCTACACCAGCTCCAGAGACACGGCAGTGACCACAGAAAGTGCACACTCCACCAGGATATCAGTGAGGCACCTCCGTGCACCGGCCCATCCACACTGTCCACAGGACCCTGGAGACAGCATGGCCGCCGCGGCCCAGGAACGCTGCCCACCAACCCGCCCAGGCACTCACTTGAACATGGCGATGAGGAGGTTGAGCAGCAGGATGTTGGTGAAGAGCAGGTAGAGGCAGAGCAGGAGGACCGTCAGCCACTCAGGGAAGGCGGGCCTGTGCTGTGCCGCGTCGCTCTCTGGGCACTTGGGCTTGTAGGGGTCCGTGCCGTTGGGGCTGCAGTGCTCCGGGTTGAAGTTCACTCCTGGCATCAGGAATGGGGGTTGGTGAGCCAGGAAAACAACTCAGAGGCAAGATGGGCCTGGCAGGAGGGGACCCCCGAGGCCTCCAGTCACTGCCGGGGCCCCCACAGGCCTGATGCCGCTCATCTGCGTGACCTCAGCTGTCACCTCTGGGCCCGAAGTCCAGAAACAGGCAGCTGTCTCCAGCCAGATGCAGGCAGGAGGCCCCGGAGGGAGAGCCGCACCCAGGCTGGCCCATGCCTCCGCCCAAAGCCCACCACCCACCAGGGCACTGCCAGGGCCCCAGCCAGGGCCAGCACCAGGTCCCACGCCTGGGGTGTTCAATTTCGAGGGAAATAATTTAAAGGCACGTGGACCTCCTGAGGTCAGGAGTTTGAGACCAGCCTAGCCAACATGGTGAAACCGCATCTCTACCAAAAAGACAAAAATTAGCCAGGTGTGGTAGCGCATGCCTGGAATCCCAGCTACTCAGAAGGCTGAGGCAGGAGAATCACTTGAACCTGGGAGGTAGAGGTTACAGTAAGCTGAGATCATACCACTGCACGCCAGCCTGGACAACAAGAGTGAAGCTTTGTCTCAAAAAAAAAAAAAAAAGAATTGAAAAGGAAAAAATTAACAACTATCCCAAAAAGAAGGGAGACGTGGAAAAGGGAAGGGCTGCACAGGCAATGTGTGAGCAAGGGGAGCAGGTGACTGTGAAGCAGAATACCATCCAGCCGGCACAGACAGTACGGGCTCTGTAATACGTCACCAGCTTCCACCTTAAACAGATCTCTAAGGAAACATAGTAAGGTATTAACAGTGGTTCACCCTGGGCAGTGGAATTATGAATAACATTCTTTCCTTATACTTACCTTAAATCTTAAAATGACTCAACAATGAGCAATGCACTACTGGGTAATCAAACATATTTTGAATGTGTTACTGCTTTTCTAAAATAGAAACTCACTCTGATAGCTATAAATTCCTATATTAAAAAAGAATAGCTAAAATTGGTAACATAACTTTCCCCTGCGGTAAACTAGAAAAAGAGGCGCAAACCACCCTTTCACCATAAAAACACTCAGGAAGCGACGAATCCAAGAGAACCTCTGACTGAAAGGATGTTTACAAAAGCCCCACACCTAACATACTCCACGGTGAGAGACCGGACACTTCCCCCCGAGACGAGCCGAAAGCAAGCAGAAGGAAGGAAATAATGAAGATCGGAATATAAGTGGGACAAAGAAAACAAAGAAATGAATAGCAACAAACCAGACTCAGTTCTTGAAAAAGTGACAAAAAAGATTGCCACCTTGTAGCTGGACCGATCAAAAAAGAAAAGAGACACAGCCCAGATTGCTAAAGTCAGAAATGAAAGAGAGGGTATCACCACTAACCTTACCAAAAGAAAAAGAACTCGGCCGGGCGCGGTGGCTCACGCCTGTAATCTCAGCACTTTGGGAGGCCGAGGCGGGTGGATCACGAGGTCAACAGATCGAGACCATCCCGGTCAACATGGTGAAACCCCGTCTCTACTAAAAACACAAAAAATTAGCTGGGCATGGTGGCGCGTGCCTGTGATCCCAGCTACTCAGGAGGCTGAGGCAGGAGAATTGCCTGAACCCAGGAGGCGGAGGTTGTGGTGAGCCGAGATCGCGCCATTGCACTCCAGCCTGGGTAACAAGAGCGAAACTCCGTCTCAAAAAAAAAAAAAGAAAAGAAAAAAAGAAAAAGAACTCAAAGGAAATCCTGGAGAAAATCGTAGGCTAAGAAATTAGAGAGTCTGGCTGAATGGGCAAATTCCTAGACAGACACAAACTACCAAACATGACTGGGGAAGAAATGAAAACCACAAGTAGACCTGTAACACGTGAGGGACCGGCTTAGTCAGTTAGAAACACCACACAAAGAAAAGCCGCACTCAGGGGAGCTCACTGCTGAATTCGACCATGTGTAAGGAAGAACTAAAACCACACTTTTACAAACTCCTTCAAAATATCAGAGGAATTACTTCCTAAGCCATTTGACGAGGCCAGTGTTATCCTGGTAACAAAACTAGGCAAACATATTACAAGAAAAGAAAATCACAGACCAATGTCCTTCATGAATAGAGGTGCAAACATCCTCAAACAACAGCCAGCAAACTGGGTCCAGCACCATATAAAAGGGATTATTCACATGATCAAGGGTTCCAAGAACACACAGCTGGGTTAACATCCGAGGGTCAACCGATGGAATGCACCATATTAATAAAGAGTGTGGGAAATAGCAAAGTTCCTTTTTAAAGTTTCCTTTCTTGTTAAAGAGTAAGCGTGGCCCGCCGCGGTGGCTCACGCCTGTAATCCCAGCATTTTGGGCGGCCGAGTCAGGTGGATCATCTGAAGTCAGGAGTTCAAGACCAGCCTGGCCAACATGGTGAAACCTTGTTTCTACTAAAAATACAAAAGTTGGCCAGGCATAGTTGCAAGTGCCTGTAAGCCCAGCTACTCAGGAGGCTGAGGCAGGAGAATCGCTTGGACCCGGGAGGTGGAGGTTGAAGTGAGCCGAGATTGCACCACTGCCCTCCAGTCTGGGTGACAGCATGAGAGTCCATCTCAGAAAAAAATAAAATAAAACTAATTAATTTTTAAAAAGAAATAAAAGTGGAAACAAGCCAAATGTTCATCAACTGATGAAGGGGTAAATAAACTGGTGTGTCTGCACCGCGGGGTCCTAGTCAGCCGCAAACAGGAAGTAAATGCTGATACATGATAAACCCTGAAAACGTGATGTCAAGAGAAAGAAGCGAGACACCAGAGACTGCCTGTCACATCATCCGGTTCACAGGGAATGCGCAGAAAAGGCAACTGGAAAGCAGCTTCGTGGGCGGCTGGGGCTGACGGCGGGCAGTGGGGACTGGCTGTCCCGGGAGGCTGGGTCTTTTCAGGGTGATACAGATGTTATGAAATTAGATTCTGTAACAATACAGAAAACCGCTGACGTGTGCACTTTCTGCAGGTAAACTCTGTCGCAGTGAAGCTGTTAAAAAACACCATTCTATATGAAAAGTGTTCTCTCTGGCCGGGCACGGTGGCTCACGCCTGCAATCTCAGCACTTTGGGACGCCAAGGTGGGCAGATCACTTGAGCTCGAGAGTTCAAGACCAGCCTGAGCTACATGGTGAAACCCTTGACTCTACAAAAAATACAAAAATTAGCTGCTGTGCTGGTGCACATGGAGTCCCAGCTACACGGAGGCAGGTGGGAGGATAACTTGAGCCCAAGAGGTGGATGCACCACTGCACTCCAGCCTGGGTAACAGAGCCAGACCCTGTCAAAAAAGAAAGAAAGGAAGGAAGGAAAGAAGGGAGGGTGAGAGGGAGGGAGGAAGAGATTCTCTCCATCAAGAGAAGGAGGAAGTTATTTCTGATTGAGGTGAGAGGGAAAGGAGAAATGGGGTGACATTCTGTTTCAGGGGCTGTCAGCTGATGCCCCAGGTGCCCTCGGCCCACTGACCTCCGTGTGGCACCGCCCACTCCCCCACCAGGCTCACCCTCCTCCCTCCCCTGGGCAGTGGGAGCCCCTTCCACTTCCTGCCACAGAAGCTGGGGAGTGAATGCCCCCAGGGAGATGCCGCCCGGATGGGAACTGCAAGACCCCCACGGGAGCCGGCCTTGCTCCCACTCAGGCTACGGCCCCTCTCTGGCCTTTCTGCTGCTCCCCAGCATCCCCACCTGAGCTCCCCGGGGCCCGCTCCTACCGTCAATGTAGCCCGGGATCTGCCCGAAGATGGTGAGGTAGGAGTGGTAGACGGCCCCTCGGAAGATCCAGTCCACGCGGCGCTCGTTGTGGATGAGGATGGCCTGCTTGGCCACCCCGAAGGACACCACCCACACCGCCAGCAGGAAGAGGAAGAAGAAGACGTCCTTCATCTGCCGGAACGCAAGGTCGGTGAGCTGCACTCCCCCGGCCCCAGACGCTCACCGGGCACAGAGGCAGGCCCAGCAGCAACGGCGAAGGCACTGCCACTCACAGCACACGGCACGCCAGGAGGCTCCCGAGAGCAGCCCTGGGGCTGCCTCCACACTCTCATGGACTGCTGGGCACCCCAGGGTGCAAGAGGGGACAGACATAACCGCAACCCAAGGAGGAAAGCTCCTAGAGCTGAATTCAAGGTCAGGAATGAGTGGGGATCAGAGAGAGGAATGAGGGAAGACTTCCTGGGAGACGTGACATACAGGCAAAGATATGAGAAGGGCATTCTTGGGAGCCCAGGGGGCAAATCAGGGATGGGGAGCCTGCAGCTGTGCTGAAGCCCCGTCCGGACCACTGGCCAGGGGCTTGCCCTCCCCGAGCCCCATCCTGGGCTGCAAGCCACCATGGAGCACGTGCCCCTTACCATCCGCTTCACAATGATGATCTTGGGCCCCAGCGTCTTACTGACGGTGAAGATGTGCATGAGCCGGAGGCAGAACAGGATGAAGTCCAGAGAGAGGATGACGCGCCCGGGGTACAGCGTCTCCGGGATGAGCCTGGCCGCCAGCAGAAGCACACGCACCTCAGCCTCCTGCTCACAGCAGCCCCAGAGCTGTGCCCCACCACCCTCCACCTGTCCCAGCCCAGGTGGGCCCTGGAGGCAAAGGGCTGTGACGGGCCTGCATCCCAGGTGTTCAAAGCCAGCATGAGGTTGAGGAGTGGAGCCTCCCAGTTTGCTTCAGAAAGGTCCGGATGCCCAGCCCCACAGGGCAGCCTGGCACGGGGCACCCTGTGGAGCCAGAGGTAGCCAGGGCCCTCTTGCCTCAGAGAAAGGGGGTGTGGCCTCACAGAGACACAAGGACGTAAGGGGCAGTGCAGTGACCCCGTGGCAGGGAGGCGGAGGGAGGAAGCCGCAGCTGCATGTCCCTGGAGCTGGGACAATTCCAGCAGTTGCCATCCATGGCCCCTTGCACATGGACGATCTCAGGTCTACAAGGAGCTCTCATGCCCCTTCTGTGCTCCCTCAAGGATCCCAAGGGTAGGTGGGGCACTGTTGCCCGGACACCCATTGGACAGATGACAATCCAGGGTTCAGGGAGGAGCTGAGCCTTGAGTAGTGCTGCTGGCTCCCGGCCTGGCCTGAACTCATGCCCCGGGTCTGGCTGCCTCAGACAGGGGCCCACCATCAGGTGAGGCCACTCACCTGCAGGTCAGCCCTGCCATGAAGAGCAAGATGGCGCCAACGTCCAGCTTATTCCAGAAGTCGCTGAAATACAAGGCTGCCTTCTTCATCAGCCCGCACTCATCAGGGTCATAGAAGAGCTACTGGGAAGAGGGGCGGTGGGGGGCAGACGTGCTGTCACTCTCACTGTCCTCACTGTCACTGTCACTATCCACTGTCATCACTGTCACTATCAGTATCTTCACTGTCACGGTCACTGTGCCGTCACTATCCACTGTCATCACAGTCACCGCCACTATCCTCACTGTCACTGTCACTGTCACTATCATCACAATCACTGTCACCATCCTCACTGTCACTGTCATCACAGTCACATCACTGTCCTCGCAGTCACTGTCACTCTCACTGTCCTCACTGTCACTGTCACTGCACTATCCACTATCATCACTGTCACTGTATCTTCACTGTCACAGTCACTGTGCTGTCACTATCCACTGTCATCACAGTCACTGTCACTCTCACTGTCCTCGCAGTCACTGTCACTCTCACTGTCCTCACTGTCACTGCACTATCCACTGTCATCACAGTCACTGTCACTCTCACTGTCACTGTCACTGCACTATCCACTGTCATCACAGTCACTATCAGTATCTTCACTGTCACTGTCACTGCACTATCCACTGTCATCACAGTCACCGCCACTATCCTCACTGTCACTGTCACTGTCACTCTCACTGTCCTGTCACTGTCACTGCACTATCCACTGTCATCACTGTCACTGTCACTATCAGTATCTTCACTGTCACAGTCACTGTGCCGTCACTATCCACTGTCATCACAGTCACCGCCACTATCCTCACTGTCACTGTCACTATCATCACAATCACTGTCACCATCCTCACTGTCACTGTCATCACAGTCACATCACTATCCTCGCAGTCACTGTCACTCTCACTGTCCTGTCACTGTCACTGCACTATCCACTGTCATCATTGTCACTGTCACTATCAGTATCTTCACTGTCACGGTCACTGTGCCGTCACTATCCACTGTCATCACAGTCACCGCCACTATCCTCACTGTCGCTGTCACTATCATCACAATCACTGTCACCATCCTCACTGTCACTGTCATCACAGTCACATCACTATCCTCGCAGTCACTGTCACCGTCACTGCACTATTCACTGTCATCACAGTCACTGTCACTGTCATCAGTCACATCACTATCCTCGCAGTCACTGTCACTCTCACTGTCCTGTCACTGTCACTGCACTATCCACTGTCATCACTGTCACTGTCACTATCAGTATCTTCACTGTCAGTCACTGTGCCATCACTATCCACTGTCATCACAGTCACCGTCACTATCCTCGCAGTCACTGTCACTCTCACTGTCCTGTCACTGTCACTGCACTATCCACTGTCATCACTGTCACTGTCACTATCAGTATCTTCACTGTCACAGTCACTATGCCGTCACTATCCACTGTCATCACAGTCACCGCCACTATCCTGTCACTGTCACTGTCACTGCACTATCCACTATCATCACTGTCACTGTCACTATCAGTATCTTCACTGTCACGGTCACTGTGCCGTCACTATCCACTGTCATCACAGTCACCGCCACTATCCTGTCACTGTCACTGTCACTGCACTATTCACTGTCATCACTGTCACTATCAGTATCTTCACTGTCACGGTCACTGTGCCGTCACTATCCACTGTCATCACAGTCACCGTCACTATCCTCGCAGTCACTGTCACTGTCACTACACTATTCACTGTCATCACAGTCACTGTCACTGTCATCAGTCACATCACTATCCTCGCAGTCACTGTCACTGTCACTGTCATCACAGTCACTGTCCCATCACTGCTATCACTGTCATGACAATCACTGTCACTCTCACTGTGACTATGGTCACCATCCTGTCACCTTCACTGTCATATCACTCTCCACTATCAGCATCACAATCACTGTCACTGACACTATCATCATAGTCCGCAAATCCAAATGCTGTGTCCAGTCTGAAGACAGCTGGGTCAGTGAGGGACATGGGGACGGGACAGAGCGGGACAACGCAGGGTGGCACTGGCAGCAGCTTCCCCTGGTCTCCTGCTCATTCGGCACCTGTGTGTGCATGTGTGTGCATGTATGTGTGTATATGTATGTATGTATATTCTGCATGTGTATATGTGCAGATGTGTATGTATGTGTCCATATACTGTGTATGTGCATATGCATATGTCCATATGCATATGTGTGCATGCATTGTGTATGTGTATGTGTGCATGTATTTGTGTGTGCATGTGTGTAACTGTGTACATATATTTGTATGTGAGTACATGTGTGTACACATATATGTCTATGTGTATGTGTGTGTTCATGTGTGTAGGTATGTATGTGTGCATTTGTCTATGTGTTAAATGCTTGTGTGTAGATGTCTATATGTGTATATGTGACGTCTATATGTGTATATGTGTGCATGTCTGTGCACGCATGCGTACATGTGTGTATATACATATATATGTGTCATGTATGTGCATGTGTACATGTGCATGTGTGTGTATGCATGTGCGTGTACATATGTGTGTGCATGTCTTTATTTGTGTCGTGTGTGCATGTTTGTGTGTGCGCACTTGTGTGTGTATGCATGTGTATGTGTATGTTATGCACGTTTATGCATGCGTGCATGTATGCTTGTATATGTATGTATGTGGGTGTGTATGTGTGCATATATTTGTATGTGTATGCATATGTGTGTATATATCCATGTATGCATGTGTGTATGCATGTGTGCATGTTTGTATATGTGTATTTGTGTGTACTGTGTATGTGTGTGCCTGTGTGGTATGTGTGCATGCACATGTGTATTTGTGTATGTATGTGTATGCATGCATGTGTATTTGTGTACATGTACACGTGTGTGTGCATGTGTCTGTGTGTGCATGTGTGTGCACATGTGTGCGCATGTGTTTGCGTGTGTGTGTTCGTGCATGTGTTTTTGTGCATGTGTGTTGGATCAGGCCCCTCCTCACTGTCAGGCACCAGCTGCCTTCCCACAAGGATCTTTGCTCTGTCGGGTCCACATTGCTTCTTCAGCAAGCAGAGAGGGCAGGATCCTAGCAGGGGCTATGGGAGCCCCCATTTGGCCTGCCTGGCAGGAGTCCCCATACCCTTCCTAGTCCCAGGCCCCAGGCCCCAGCAGCTGGACAGGTGGGGCAGGTGAGTGGCAGGACCAACCAGGGCCCTCCTCGGATCACAGACAGATGCAGGGAGAAGGAAGTGTCCCCTCTGCTCTCAGGCTGTGCCCATAAGGCTGGGCCTTGGGGTGTGTGGATGCCTCTGCCCCCTCATAAAGAAGGTCTGGTGGCAGAAGCCATGTGCCAAGAGGAGGGCCAAGGAGAGCCCGGCAGAGCCAGGGCCACAGCCCAGCTATCAGGGCCCGCCCAGTCCTGGCACTGCTCTTCCTTCCTAGGGATGGTGCCCCCCCCCAGGGTCTCCAGTAGGCAGTGGTGTCACAGTGCACACTGCTTCCTAACTGGGGGCCTGCTGGTCCACCAAGGTCAGAGAGCAGAGGTGAGTCTAAGCCAGGACCATTGCCCCTTGGGCCGACCCCATGTACCAGCTGCCAGCAGGTGCGGGCACCAAGGGGGCATGCTGGAGACCCCATACAGTAAGGGATTCACCCCGCCTGCAGGGCAGCTTGGCCTTGCCCAACTCCAGGGAGGTCGCCTCTGAGGGCTTGGAACGTCTGCTGATGAGGGTCTTTGTTTACCAGGGGCCTGGGCTGCACCAGGGAGTCCCACAGTGTGATCTGGGGGCAGTTTTCAGCTTGACCTCCGGAGGGCTGGAGACAGAGGTCAACTGTGTGGTGTCAGCCGGGCCTCTGTGACTGACCCCCAGAGACACCAAGGCCCGTGAGCCTCCCTGGGGACCATGTTCCACGCATGAGGCCACCTGTCACCGCTGGGAGGATGGAGTGCCGCCCACACTCCGCGGAGAGGGACTGCCTGGATGCTCTGGGCTCACGGCTGTCCTGGATGCAGCTGGATCCCTTCCCCGGCTGGTTTGCTCTGTAGACTTTTGCTTAATAAACTATAAGAGAGCATCGACACTCCCCAGTGTCTGTGGGTCCTTCTGGCTTGTCACTGAACGTAACAGGAGTCTTAGGGCCCCCCACGCCTTGCACTGCTCTTCCCAGGGGGAGGGGACACACCTTGTGAACATTCAGCGTCCACAAGGTCAGGGCATCCCACCTTAAGCCGATTGGCCCAGGTCTCCAGGCGGGGAGGGAAAGCAGGGAAGCAGGTGCCAGGGGCATGAGGAGGGAGGGGTTGGAGGGTGGGGCCCCAGGCACCCATTTTGGGGAGGGAGCACTGGGTGGGCTAGGCAGGGTATACTCTAGGCCCCGGGTCCCCTGTGAGAACTTGGCCAAGCGGGAGGCCCCGGGCTGGGGCACAGGAAAGCGGGTGGGGCTGTACCTGCCGCATCTCCTCGCACACCAGGGAGAAGAGCCAGAGGTAGATGGCACACTCGCACCAGGAGGGCATGGGCTGGAAGTCCACCATGAGCACATAGGCGAACAGGCAGAGGAAGGCGAAGTAGGAGAGGATGTTCAGGAGAAAGACCACCACGGGCGCGGTGAAGAAGGCGCGGGCTCGGGCCGCGGGGCTGCTCACCTCCTGCAGCCTCTTCTCCCTGCGGAGAAGAGACGGTGACAGCGAGGGCCAGTGTCCCGACCCCCCATGCCCCTCAGAGAGCCACACTTTAGGGGCAAAAGCAGTGAAGGATCCACGGCCAGCTACGGGCGGAGCCAGCACAGCACAGCCTGGGAGCCCCAGATGCAGCCACTGGGGTGGAGCTGGCCCTGCCCCACAAAGTGAGGACACAGGGATGCCCTCCAACACCCATGGCCCTGATCTTCATGGCTGCACACAGGGAGGCCGGGCCCCAGCTTCAGAGCTCACGGTGCTCAGTGATGCTCAGGCCTCAGTCACCCTCCTGTAAATGGGGACAGGCTTTCCTCACTGTCTTCACTGGGGGCAGGGCTGACCACACTACCGCTGTGGTGTGCCTTGGTCCTGGGTCCCTATCCCAGGGCTGCTGGAACAGGGGCAGAGGCAGCCATCAGCAACATGGTTCTGCCATCCTTGGGATAGCAGCAGGGAGGAGCCAGCACTGCTTTAGGGCACCTGAGCCACTCCTCCCTGCCTCAATTTCCCACCAGGACTTCTGAGAACTCAGGTGCCATCCTGGCTGTCAGGAGAAGGGGAAGGAGGTGGGCAGTGTGGCCTGCGGGTTGCAGAAGGGGCTCAGCCACCTCACTGGGGTCTTGAATCTGCCCTGACCCCCAGGAGACCCTGGGCCTCCGTCCAGCCCTCAGTAAAACACAGCAGACTCCATGACGTCCCTGCAAGCCTCTGAGGAGGTGCGGGTGGGGACACCAGGCCCGGCCAGGCCTTCAACCATGGCCAGAATGTCCTCCTCCTTCAGAAGGGAAAGTAATTCCGTCAATACCGGCTCTGCAGCCATGGCTCGCTGTCCCCACCCTAGACCTGCACTTGCTGTACCCACCCCAGACCTGCACTTGCTGCCCCCCAAGACCTGTACTCGCTGCACCCCCAGACCTGTACTTGCTGCACCCCCAGACCTGTACTCGCTGCACCCCCAGACCTGCACTTGCTGCCCCCCCGACCTGCACTTGCTGTACCCCCAGACCTGCACTTGCTGCCCCCCCGACCTGCACTCGCTGCACCCACCCCAGACCTGCACTCGCTGCACCCACCCCAGACCTGCACTTGCTGCCCCCCAAGACCTGCACTTGCTGCACCCCCAGACCTGCACTTGCTGCCCCCCCGACCTGCACTCGCTGCACCCACCCCAGACCTGCACTCACTGCACCCACCCCAGACCTGCACTCACTGCACCCACCCCAGACCTGCACTCACTGCACCCACCCCAGACCTGCACTCACTGCACCCACCCCAGACCTGCACTCACTGCACCCACCCCAGACCTGCACTCACTGCACCCACCCCAGACCTGCACTCACTGCACCCACCCCAGACCTGCACTCGCTGCCCCCCCGACCTGCACTCGCTGCACCCCCAGACCTGCACTCGCTGCACCCCCAGACCTGCACTTGCTGCCCCCCCAACCTGCACTCGCTGCACCCCCAACCTGCACTCGCTGCACCCCCAGACCTGCACTTGCTGCCCACCCCCGACCTGCACTCACTGCACCCACCCCAGACCTGCACTCACTCCCCCCACAAGACCTGCACTCGCTGCCTGCCTGTGCCCCAGACCTACACTCACTGCCTGTGCCCCAGACTGGCTCAGGTCTGCAGTGCCGGCAAGAAACCCTGGGTCCTGGCCTCCCTGACCCCAGGCTGCAGTGGCAGAGCAGCACCCACATCTCTTCGGCTCCGCTTCCCACCCTCATCTCCTCAGCTCCAGGATCCAGGCATGACCCTGAGGACACACGACTTGCTCCCAGTGAGGGGATGTGGGGAAGGTCCTGAGCCCCCAGGAGCCCCGCCCACAGCTCCGCAGCCCCACAGCTTTGCGGCACCTGAAGGAGATGAGGCCGGTGAGGAGCAGCGGGAAGGCCAGCATGCACAGGATCACGCGCCACAGTCCGTTGTCCACACAGAGCTGGCCCCACCACACCTTAGTCAGGAAGGCCTGTGGATGAGGGCAGTCTTAGGATGGCAGTGCCCAGCCCTGCGCCCCAGATGGTGCCCATCAGCTATCTGCTGAGGACTCAGGGTGCCTAGTGGACACAGCTGGCCTGTAGTCTCCCAGTAGAAAGTAGTGAAGACACAGAGCTTGCCCCGGGGCTTTTGGTGCCCAATCCCGCCTTTCCTGGACCTCAAGCTGTGGGACCCCATCTCTGCTGGCTTCTAAGGCCCCACAGTTGCAGGCTCTCGAGAGTTGGCCCCTGTGAGCTCTGTAGCTGGGGACGGGACCCCCCAGCCGTCCTCAGGCCCAGCACGATGGGGGCTCATGGGCCTGGCAATAGCTCGGAGCTCCAAGGAAGCCCAGCGTGTGAAGGGCAGGTGCTGCAGGCCAGGCCCTGCCGGGGGTGTCAGGGCGATGCTGAGGGCAGCCATGCCCGGGAGCCCCTGCCACTCCAGGAAGGACATGCCATGCCCTGCGTATCCCTCCAGGAAAAGAGGGCGGCCGCCTGTGCTCCCAGGTAAGAACATCCGTCCGTCCATGGGGAGGTGAACTGTGACCTCTGCGGCCACCAGCTCCTGCTTTTGCTTTATCCATCTGCACAATGGGAGGCCAGAGCCTGGAGCAGGTGGCCGAGGGGTCAGGCGCTGTCCCCAAGCTGCTGAGAGGCGCGAGGCCTGTGTGAGTGTGAGTGCCGACTGCAGAACAAGAGGCCGTGTCCGCCCTGCAGGCACTGCATGTGTCTGTTTCCGGAAGGGGCCCTTGGAAGATCACCTGGATGCCGCCGTGAGACACAAACTTCATGTCCTTGGCCTCCAGGGCGAGCTGCAGGCAGGTGGTCTTCCCCCAGGCCTCGGAAACGCGGATGAGCAGCTTCTGAGCTCTCTCTTCGTCCTTCCGGTAGCACTCGGTGAAGACCCCTGTGGGGAGACGGAAGAGCCACGTCAGAGCAGCAGGTCACACTGGCTGAGCCCAGGAGATGGGTCAGAGGGCGACTACTCTGGACAGGAGCACCAGGGCACAGGGAGGGGCACTGGGCAGGGCAGGGCAAATGTGGGGCTGATGTGTCTAAACACCCAGGCCGGGGAAGAGGACCCCGGGGAGAGGGCTCATAGGGCTGAAGCTGCCTCTACAAAAATCACAACAGGGAGAAGAATATGACACGGACGGGGAACTGACCCAAGCGACTCCATCTCGCTTCTCACGTCCAGGCTGCCCTTGTCCATGCCTGGGCGGAAGCCACACTAACCAGTTAACTGCCAAACAAAGCTGACAACAGCCCTTTCCCGCCTGAGGACCAGTCTGCCCTGGACAGGCTAGCGAAGTAGCCACAGATTAGAAATGACGGTTTAGGAGTCATGAAGCCGGAGGCCACCAGATTCTGAGCCTCCAAACTCTTCCCAGAATGACGTCACTGGTGGAAAACCTACGACATTTTCACATGTCACCACCCCCGCTGGAAACCTGGCTCAGCCAGTTCTGGGACCACACCCAGGAGCAGAAGCCAGCAAGAGGAACCCACTTCGACCCCTATGGTCTCAACTCTGACCCAACCAATCAGCACTCCCCACTGCCTGGCCCCTCCCCACCAAATCATCCTTAAAAAACCCCACTGTCCAAATGTTCAGTGACGGATTCGGGTGATGAAAGTCCAGCCTCCCCTTTGGCCGGTGCTGTGTGAAGTAAACTCTTTCTCTGTTGCAATGTGGCTGTCTTAACGGGCTCTATCCAGGCAGCAGGCGAGATGGACCCACTGGGTGGTTACAGGGCTGAGACCCAGGGATGAGGACCCCAGGGGGAGGGCACATGGGGCTGAGACTCAGGGATGGGAAACTAGGTGAGGGGCGTGCATGGCTGAGACCCAGGGAGGGGACCCCAGTGGGGGCGTGCAGAGCTGAGCTGTGCCCAGCAGGGCTCACCCATGGCTCTCTGCTCATACTCCTCCGCCAGCGCCAGCATCTCCTCCGAGCTGTCCGTGTCCTCCTCCTCTTTTGACAGCTCCTTCAGGATCTTGCTGCAGGCCAAGGCCGCCGCGATGCAGTCCTGGCTCTGTGGACCCGAGGAGCCACCGTGAGACTCTGAAGGGCCTAGCCGGGCTCAGCCCAGCCTGCAGAAGCCAACACACTGCCCGGGTGATGAACACAGAGGCCAGGGACAGTGCGGCCCACTGCGCAGTCACCATCTGTGACCACATCTATGAAGACAACCTGAGCCCCACCTCAATCAATACATAACCTCCCAGGCTCTGTATGGCCTGTGAGAGGGGTCTGCTTGCCCTGCAAAGCCTAATAGACGGCATGTGCCCAGCACATGCACCCGTCCCACCAGAACCCACGTGAGCTGCAAGGGTGGCACCACCCGGCCCGTGGGTGCCCAGTGAGGCTCGGCCCTGGACATAAGCACAGGACGAGTTTTTTTAACAGAACTTTTAATGTAAAAATTCCTTTCCTGGTCTGGGCACGGTGGCTCATGCCTGTAATCCCAGCACTTTGGGAGGCCAAGGCAGGCGGATGATGAGGTCACGAGTTCAAACTGAGCCTGGCCCATATGGTAAAACCGCGTCTCTACTAAAAATATAAAAACTTAGCCAGGTGCGGTGGCACGTGCCTGTTGTCCCAGCTACTTGGGAGGCTGAGGCAGGAGAATCACTTGAACCCGGGACGCAGAGTATGCAGTGAGCTGAGATTGCACCACTGCACTCTAACCTGGGCGACAGAGCGAGACTCCATCTCAAAAAAGAAAATCCTTTCCTGCCTAGAGCTATGTTCCTCGTTCTCCAACTCTGGGCGCCCCATTCTTTCTGGTGTTGCAGAAGCCCACGCCCCCTCCACAGCCCCTGTGTGCAGCTGGCCTCAGGCACTCCGGCCCCGCTCCCCCACTGGCTGCTGGCCTATAGCTGTGTCTGCTGAGAAGCCGGTCTTATTACCTGAGCCCAGATGATTCCTGCCAGCTCCCGACGGTTCTGGACGATGGCCCAAATGAGAAGGTCGCGGATGGGGTCCATGGTGAAGGTCACGTGGCCTGACGAACGCTTGTAGAGGGACCGGAGGCTCACTCCCTGCACCTGCTGAGGAGTGGACAGTCAGAGCTCCAGCTGGGCCCCATTGGCTCAGAGTCACTTTCGGAACCTGCTGGAGGTGCAGGCCCTGACCTCAGCCCCAACCTTCTCAGGATCACCATTCCTGGAATGACACAAGTGCACCTTCAGCAACGCCCTACATCATTCTCATGCACACTGAAGTTTTTTTGTTTTTGTTTTGCCTTTTTGAGACAGGGTCCTGCTCTGTCGCCAGGCGCCAGGCTGGAGTGCAATGGCGCAATCTCAGCTCACTGCAGCCTCTGCCTACTAGGTTCAAGCAATTCTCCTGCCTCAGCCTCCCGAGTTGCTGGGACTACAGGCCCAGACCACCACTCCTGGCTAACTTTTGTATTTTTAGTAGAGACGGGTTTTCACCATGTTGGCCAGGATGGTCTTGATCTCTTGACCTCGTGATCCACCCGCCTCGGCCTCCCAAAGTGCTGGGATTACAGGCATGACCCACCATACCCGGCCCACACTGAAGTTTTTAAAACCACTGTTCTGGAGATATCCAGAAACATCTAGAAAGCGATATATCCATCTAACTCCTTAACCAACATTTGTAGACTCTTGTTTCATGCCAGGCACTTCAAGGTTCTCTAGTCTTATCTGATGGCATCGAGGCCACTTTCAATGAAGTAAAATTCTAGCCCAGTGGAGTCTGTCAATAGGTCTATGACTGTCTTCTCTCTGAGGGACCCTGCCTCCGGGAACATCTCCCACCAGGGAACATCGGCCAGGTGGGCAACAAGGCGCACACACGAACAAGGGCAGGGCACCTCGCCCAGCCCCACCTCCCCTACCTGGCTGGGCTTCAGGAAACATGCACTCAGGTAGCTGAGAAACACTTCCCAGAAGGGGAAAATGCATCTCCATCATCACATACTGTACAAAACACACTTCAAGTGATCCTAGGTTTTTCATTATCAAGAAATGTGTTTTTCTTCCTAAACCACAGGTATGGATAAGCCTAAGCTGCTGCTTTGGACCTTCCTAAGCATATCCCTACTGAGTGTCTTGAGTAAACGCACCGGACTTAGGAAGCACAGACTGTGAATGTCTAAAACCAAGCCATACCCAGCCAGGCACGGTGGCTCACACCTGTAATCCCAGCACTTTGGGAGACCAAGGCAGGTGGATCACCTGAGGTTGGGAGTTCAAGACCAGCCTGACCAACACGGTGAAACCCCGTCTTAAAAAAAAGATGAAAAATAAATAAAATAAAATAAAGGATAACAATAATTCTTTAAAAAATTGATCCCAGAGCCAAACACACACAGCTCCACAAATCAAAGTGTCATGAAAGGCTTAAGCCTCCCGCAGACACCTGAAAACTGTGACAAGAGGATCCAGTATATTCAGCTTGCACTGAGGTCAAGCTGAAATTAAAAACAGGAGTAAAAACATGTTTCACTATCAGAAAATCTATCAAAATAATTCACCAAATTCATGGGTCAAAGAAGAAAAGCGGCTGAATCTTCTCAAAGGCATCTGACAAAACAGCACTGATGCTCTGCTTTATAAAACCTTAATGAATCAGAGGAGATAAATACCCCCAAGAGGAAATACAAACAAAATCCAGCATCACTCCTGACACTGAGAAACTGCAAGGTTCCCATTGATTCAGGTGGAGACTGGAGCAGGGTTCCCACTGAACCAGGGTGGAGATTAGAGCGGGATTCCCACTGAATCAGGGTGGAGACTGGAGCAGGATTCCCACTGAACCAGGGTGGAGATTAGAGCAGGATTCCCACTGAATCAGGGTGGAGATTAGAGCGGGATTCCCACTGAATCAGGGTGGAGATTAGAGCAGGATTCCCACTGAATCAGGGTGGAGATTAGAGCGGGATTCCCACTGAATCAGGGTGGAGATTAGAGCAGGATTCCCACTGAATCAGGGTGGAGATTAGAGCAGGATTCCCACTGAATCAGGGTGGAGATTAGAGCAGGATTCCCACTGAACCAGGGTGGAGATTAGAGCAGGATTCCCACCGAATCAGGGTATAGATTAGAGCAGGATTCCCACCGAACCAGGGTGGAGATTAGAGCAGGATTCCCACCGAACCAGGGTGGAGATTAGAGCGGGATTCCCACTGAACCAGGGTGGAGATTAGAGCGGGATTCCCACTGAATCAGGGTGGAGATTAGAGCGGGATTCCCACAGAATCAGGGTGGAGATTAGAGCGGGATTCCCACTGAATCAGGGTGGAGATTAGAGCGGGATTCCCACCGAACCAGGGTGGAGATTAGAGCAGGATTCCCACTGAACCAGGGTGGAGATTAGAGCAGGATTCCCACTGAACCAGGGTGGAGATTAGAGCGGGATTCCCACTGAATCAGGGTGGAGATTAGAGCGGGATTCCCAAGGAATAAGGGTGGAGATTAGAGCGGGATTCCCAAGGAATCAGGGTGGAGATTAGAGCGGGATTCCCACTGAACCAGGGTGGAGATTACAGCGGGATTCCCAAGGAATCAGGGTGGAGATTAGAGCGGGATTCCCAAGGAATCAGGGTGGAGATTAGAGCGGGATTCCCACTGAACCAGGGTGGAGATTAGAGCAGGATTCCCACTGAACCAGGGTGGAGATTGGAGCAGGATTCCCACTGAACCAGGGTGGAGATTAGAGCAGGATTCCCACTGAACCAGGGTGGAGATTAGAGCGGGATTCCCACTGACCCAGGGTGGAGATTAGAGCGGGATTCCCACTGACCCAGGGTGGAGATTAGAGCGGGATTCCCACTGAACCAGGGTGGAGATTAGAGCGGGATTCCCATGGAATCAGGGTGGAGATTAGAGCGGGATTCCCATGGAATCAGGGTGGAGATTAGAGCGGGATTCCCACTGAATCAGGGTGGAGATTAGAGCGGGATTCCCATGGAATCAGGGTGGAGATTAGAGCGGGATTCCCACTGAATCAGGGTGGAGATTAGAGCAGGATTCCCACTGAACCAGGGTGGAGATTAGAGCGGGATTCCCACTGAACCAGGGTGGAGATTAGAGCAGGATTCCCATGGAATCAGGGTGGAGATTAGAGCGGGATTCCCATGGAATCAGGGTGGAGATTAGAGCGGGATTCCCACTGAATCAGGGTGGAGATTAGAGCGGGATTCCCATGGAATCAGGGTGGAGATTAGAGCGGGATTCCCACTGAATCAGGGTGGAGATTAGAGCAGGATTCCCACTGAACCAGGGTGGAGATTAGAGCGGGATTCCCACTGAACCAGGGTGGAGATTAGAGCAGGATTCCCACTGAATCAGGGTGGAGATTAGGGCGGGATTCCCACTGAACCAGGGTGGAGATTAGAGCAGGATTCCCAAGGAACCAGGGTATAGATTAGAGCAGGATTCCCACTGAATCAGGGTGGAGATTAGGGCGGGATTCCCACTGAACCAGGGTGGAGATTAGAGCAGGATTCCCAAGGAACCAGGGTATAGATTAGAGCAGGATTCCCACTGAATCAGGGTGGAGATTAGGGCGGGATTCCCACTGAATCAGGGTGGAGATTAGAGCGGGATTCCCAAGGAATCAGGGTGGAGATTAGAGCAGGATTCCCACAGAATCAGGGTGGAGATTAGAGAGATCCTCCTCCTGCAGAACCTTTCATACTGTTGGGAACTATCGGAAAGGGTATGTTATGGACTGAGCTGTGTCCCCCTAAAATCCATATGTTGAGGCCCTAACCCCCAGTGTGACTACAGCATTTAGAGATAGAGCCTTTAATAAGGTAATTAAGGTTAAATGAGGCCACACCGCAGGTTCCTAAGTGGATGGGTGTGGCACCTTAAAAAAAAGAGGAGTGAGATGATGTGTGGTGGCTCACACCTGCAATGCCAGCACTTTGGGAGGCCAAAGACAGGAGGATTACTTGAGCCCTAGGGTTTGAGTCCAGCCTGGGTCATATAATAAGAACCCATCCCTACAAAACATTAAAAAATAATAATAATAAGCTGGGCGTGGTGGCACGTGCCTATAGTCCCAGCTACTCAAGAGGCTGAGGCAGGAGAATTGTTTGAGCCCAGGAGGTGTAAGGTGCAGTGAGCCATGACTGCACCAGTGCACTCCAGCCTGGGTGACAGAGCCAAACCCTGTCTCAAACATAAAAATAGGTGAGGCACGGTAGCCCAGCAGTATAATTCCAGCCTTTGGGAGGCTGAGGAGGACAAATCGCTTGAGGCCAGGAGTTTGAGACCAGCCTGTCCAAAATGGCAAAACCATCTCTACAAAAAATAAAACATTTGTCAGGTGGAGTGGTGCGCACCAGTAGTCCCAGCTACTTGGGAGGCTGAGGTGGGAGGATTGCTTGAGCCTGGGAGATCAAGGCCACAGTGAGCTATGCTCACACCACTGCACTCCAGCCTGGAAGACAGATTGAAATCCTGTCTCAAAAAAATAAATAAAAGAAAAAGAAGAGGAAGCGGCACCAGAGATCTCTCTGTGTGTCATGTGAAGACACAGCAAGCGGGCAGCCACGTGCAGGCCGGGAAGAGGCCCTCACCAGAAGCCAGGCCTGCTGGCACCCGCATCTGGGAATCCCGGCCTCCGGAACTTCGAGAAAATAAACCTGTAGTTTCCGCCCTGTCTGTGAAATTTCATTACAGCAGCCTAAGACAGAGCATGTGTCTTTTCTGATAAAAATAAAAGCTAATTTTAAGAACAGAGACTCTAAGCACAGCAGGAGCCCACACGGGCCAGGCCAGGCCGACCCCGTTACCAGCACGCACGTTGAGCTTGATGTGTGGCACAGGCAGCAGGGGCCGTGGCCGGTCGCTGTGCTGGGGCCGGGGGTAGAGCGGCTGCGTGAAGTCCCCCAGCAGCTCCCGCAGCACCTGGGCCACGTGGTGCATCTGCAGGCGGGGCGCGGCCGGCGCCTCGGCCAGCAGCTTCTGCAGCTTGCTGTGGAACAGGCAGGAGGGCTCCAGGTTCTCGTAGAGATGGAGCAACGTGTCCCAGGTGACGAAGTCCTTCAGCCGCACCCCATTCTCCAGGAAGAGCTTCACAAACTCAGGCTTGTTGGAGATGAGGGCGGCCGTCATCATGGGGTGCAGATCTGAAGGCTGAGAGCAAGCCCTGTGTGGTGACCGTTGCATCGGGTCACCGCCCCATGTCATCCTGTTCTCAATGACCCTGGAGGCAGGGGCTGCTGTGGTCCCCCACCTGGCGAGGATGAAAGCTGCCTGGGTCACCCACCCTCAAGGGAAGGGCTGGGATCCAGATGATGCAAACCTCGCCTGCCCTTGCTTCAGGGTGCAGTGCACGTGGCCCAGTGGGTCCCTCCACAAGGTGCTGTGGAAGACTTACCTTCCACTGCCACTCATCCGTGAAGATCTCACTGCGGGCGATGTCCACGCGATTCCATGCCACTGCCAGTTTCAGCTGGTGGTCCCAGTTCTCCTGGCCGAAGTGGTCCTGGCTCCGTGAGGCTGCAGATGAACAGGTGCACATTGAGCCTTGATCCTGGCTCAAAGCCGTTTCCTGCCAAGGCCACTGACTTAGGACGTCAGAGTCGGGGATGTGTCATGAACCCTCGCCTCTCAACAATTCAAAGTGACAGACACAGCACCCAGTGACATCTTCCCATGCACACAGCCTTGTGAAAGCACATTCCATCTTGGGATCAGAATCAATGACTCTTGGGGCTTTGGTCATCACGTCCACTCACCCGTTTCCCCTCCCCTCCTCCTGGCCATGCCCTGGCCCCTGAGTGACAGGTGGGCAGTGAGCAACAAAAGGGCCTCCCTGTTTAAAGAAGACATAGGTCTCTAAAGGGCAGGCATCTTATGCTAACATCCAAAACTCAGGACTCAGAAGCAATCAAATTTCCTTTCCTGCCTCAACCGCCTGTAGTCACCTGCAACAACCACCTCACTGGTTCTCAGGACGAGAATTGCACTCAAGTAGTTCTGCACTCTCTTTCTGGCCTAACTTTTTTTAACGTGGGTTACAATTTGGGGAAAAAGAAAAAAGAATTTTGACCCTTACCTCACACCGCACACAAGAATCAGCCTGAAGTGGCTCGTAGACCCAAACGTAACAGCTGTGTCTACAAAACTGCTATCAAAAAACCAGAAGAAAACATCTGCAACCTTGGGATGGGCAGAGATCTCTTAGCTATGATCCAAAGACCATGAATCATCAGGAAAAACTGATTAAACTTCATTAAAATTTAAGCCTTCTGCTCTTTAAAGACATCTTGAAGAAAATATGAAAGCAAACTACATGGCACGATAAAATAATATCTGACAAAACATTTGTATTAGAGTATACAAACAACTCTTACAAATCAAAAACAGGAAGACAAATAATCAAATAAAAATGGACAAGAGATCTGAAAGACACTTCAAAAGGTAAACAGGCAAATGGTAAAAAAGTACTTAAAATGAAGCTCCACATCACTAGTCCTCAGAAAAATGTAAATTCAAACCACACCGAGATGTCACTTCACACCCACTAGGATGGCTGCGATTTAAAAGACTGATAACACCAAGTGTTGGCAAGGATGTAGGGCAACACTCATCCATTGCTGGCAGAGAGGAAAAGGAATGCAGTCTTTTCAGGAAACAGTTTGTCAGCCTTTTACAAAGTGAAACACACACTTAAAATAAAGGCCAGTAATTCCACTCCTAGATATTGACCCAGGAGAAATGAAGACAAATAACAGCTTTATTCATAATAGCACCAAACTGGAAACGACCTAAATGCCCACCGGTGGATGAGTGGAAAAACAACCAGCGGTGTGTTCACACAATAGGACGCGCCTTCACAGACAAAAAAGAACAGTCTGACACATGCGACCACACGGATGAATCTCAGAAACAGTGCAGTGAGCAGAAGAAGCAAGACAGGAAGGAATGTATCATGCAGGAGTCCATTTACATGAAGTTCTAAAACGAGCAAAACTGATCTAGAGTGACAGAAAGCCAGGCTGGAGGGAGGCCTCACTGCACAGGGCCGTGAGGGAAGCTTCGGGGTAAGGGAGACTGTGGTGGGTCACGGCGTCTATGCTTGTTACACATTTAGAATGGGGGAAGCTTCTGTATCTAAGCTGAACCTTCAAAAAGTTGATATTTTAAAATTCATTATGTTTTTAAATTGTGGTAAAATACATGTAGCATAAAATTTACCATCTTAACTTTTTTTTTTTTTTTTTGAGTCAGGGTCTCACTCTGTCACCCAGGCTGGAGCACAGTGCTGTGATCATATTTATAATCAGGAGGCTGATTGCAGCCTCAACCTCCTGAGCTCAAGCAGTCCTCCCACCTCAGGGAGTTCAGGTGTGCATCACCACACCTGGCTAATTTTTTAAAATTTTTTGTATAGCCAGAGTTTGCTATGCTGCCCAGGCTGGTCGCAAACTCCTGAGCTCAAGTGATCCTCCCACCTCAGCCTCCCAAAGTGCTGAGATTACAGGCACGAGACACCTCACCCAGCCAAATATTTTTAAGTATACCGTTCACTGTTATTAAGTACATTCATTTGCCTGAACCCAGGAGGCGGAGGTTGCAGTAAGCCGAGATCGCACCATTGCACTCCAGCTTGGGTAACGAGCGAACCTCCGTCTCAATTAAAAAAAAAAAAAGTATGTTCATAATGTTGTGCAGCCATCATCACCGTCCTTCTCCATATCTCTTTTTATCTTGGAAACTAAAACTCTATCCCCACTAAACACTTACTCCCCATTCGCCCCTCCCCAGACCCCGGCACCCACCATCCTACTTTCTGTCCCTATGAATTTGACTACTCCAGGGACCTCATGTAAGTGGACTCACACAGTGTTTGCCCTCTTGTGACTGGCTTATCCCACTTATATAACATCTTCAAGGTTCATCCATGTTGTAGCATGTGTCAGAATTTCCTTCCTTTTTTAAGGCTCAGTAATGTTTCACTGCAGGTATAGACCACATTTTGTTTATCTGTTCATCTGTTTATGGGCACTTGGGCTGTTTCCACTTTTTAGCTATTGTGAATAACGCGGCTATGAACATGAGTGCACAAATGTCTCTTCCACACCATGCTGTAAATTCGGGAGTAGGGAGTGGCATATATATCTGGAAGGGGAACAGCTGCATCATATAGGAATTATATTTTTCCATTTTTAAGAAACCGTCAACTTGTTTTCCATGGCAGCTGCACCATGTTACACATCCACCAGCCGTGCACAAGAGTTCCAGTTTCTCCACACACTGGCCAACACTTGTGATTTTCGGTTCTTTTTTATGGTAGCTATCCAAATGTGTTTGAAATGCTATCTCTTAGTTTTGGTTTACATTTCTCTAATGATTCATGATGCTGAGCATCTTTTCATGAGCCGATTGACCATTTGTATGTCTTCTTTAAAGAAGTATCTATTCAAGTCCTTTGCCCATTTTTGAATTGGGTTTTTTTTTTATTGTTGAGTCATAGGAGCTCTCTATATATTCTGGATACCAATCCCTTACATATGTATGATCTGCAAATATTTCCTCTCATTCTATCGGCTGCCTTTGTACTCTGTTGATAATATCTTTTGATGCACAAAACTATTTAAGTTTCATAAACCCCAGTTTATCTATTTTTTCTCTGCCAAATCCTCCATCATGAAGTTTTTGCCCTATGCTTTCTTCTAAGAGTTTAGGTCTTACATTTAGAAGTCCTTGATCTACTTTGAGTTAATTTTTTATAGGGTTTTAGGTAAGGGTCTAACTTGATTCTTTGGCATGTGGCTATCCAGTTTATCCAGCATCATTTTTTGTTTATTTTGGGGCTCACTATTCTATTCCATTGGTCTCCATATCTTTTGGGTTTTCTTTTTTTTTTTTTTTTTTTTGAGACAGGGTCTTGCTCTGTTGCCCAGGCTGGAGTGCAGTGGTGCAATCATATCTCACTGCAGCTACAGGCTTCTGAGCTCAAGTGATCCTCTCCCCTCAGCCTCCCACATAGCTGAGACTACAAGCATGAACCACCATGCCCAGCTTTTTTATTTTATATAGAGACGGGCTTTCACCATGTTGCCCAGACTGGTCTTGAACTTCTGAGCCAAAGCAATCAGCCCACTTTGGCCTCCCAAAGTGCTGGGGTTACAGGCAGGAGCCACCACACCCAGCCCTCTATGTCTTTACACCATCACCACACTGTTTTGATTACTATAGTTTTGTACTGAGTTTATAAATCAGAAAGTATAAGTCCTCCAGCTTTGTTCTTCCCTTTCAAAATTATTTTGTCTGCTTGGTGTACCTTTAGACATCACATGAATTTTAGGATGGGCTTTTTTATTTCTAGAAGAAAAAAAATCACTAGGGTTTTGATAGGAATTGCATTGAATCTGTAGATTGCTTGAAAGGGTGTCAAATTTTGTCAAATACTTTTCTGTATCAGTTGAGATAATCATGGTTTTTTTCTTCATCACTCTGTTAATAGGGTGTATTAATTAAGTTTCATATGTTGAACCATCCTTGCATTCCAGGAATAAATCTCATGTAGTCATAGTGTATAATCCTGTTATTGCTACTGAATTTTGGATGCTAAATATTTTGTTGAGGAATTTTGTATCAATGTTTATAATGGATATTGGTCTGTAGTTTTCCTTTCTTGCAGTGTTTGTCTTTGGTATCAGACTAATGCTGGCTTCACAGAATGAATTAGGAATTTTTCCTTCTTGAATTTTTGGGAAAAGTTTGAGAAGGACAGGTGTTGGTTCTTTAAACATTTGGCAGAATTCACCAGTGAAGGTATCAGGCCTAAAATTTTGTGGGGAGATTTTTTGTTACTGATTCAATCTCCTTGCTACTTATAGATCTATTCAGAGTTTTTATTTTTTTAAGATTTAGTCTTGGTAGGTTTTGTGCTTCTAGAAATGTGTTCATTTCATCTAGTGCTATGCCTTGGGTGTTTTCCCCAAAGTTCATATGCTGCAGGCACAATCCCCAGCACACAGAGGTGATTCATTACAGGACAAAGCCTTCATGAATGGATTAATGTCTTATTTTGGGCGTGGGTTAGTTATTGCAAGAGTGGACTTGTTATAAAAAACAAATTTAGCTCCCTCTTGCCTTCTTACTCCCTTTCGTGCATGTATGTGCTCCCTTGCCCCTCTGCCTTCTACCGGAAGGGCATGTATGTGCTGCCATTCTGTAATGACACATGAGGCAGGCCCTTGCCAGATGCTGGACCCTCAATTTTGGGCTTCCCAGCTTCCACAATTTTAATAAATAACCTCTGACCATCTTCTGGGAAGGCAAGGATGGTCAGTGATTGATTTATAAAGTGCTAGGTACTTTGTAAAGTACTTAGTCTGTGGTATTCTGTTATAGTCACATAAAACAGACTAACACGTCTAGGTTATCCAATTTGTTGGCATACGATTGTTCATAGAACTCACTCATAATCCTTTTTATTTCTGTAGAGTCAGAAGTAATGCCCCTACTTTCATTTCTAATTTTAGTAATATAAATCTTTTTTCCTTAGTCCAGCTAGCTAAACGTGTGTCAATTTTGTTTATCTTTTCAAATAACCAATTCTTTACTTTATTTTCTCTGGAATTTTCTATGCTTTATGTCACTCATCTCTGCTCTAGTCTTTACCATTCCCTTCATTCCGCTACTTCTGGATTTCACTGGTTCTTATTTTTCTAATTGGTTATGTTGTAAAGTTAGGTTGTTGGTTTAAGATCTTATTTCTGATGTAAGCATTTGTAGCCATGCATTTCTCCATTAGCACCGTTTCTGCTGCGCTCCATGAGTTTTGATATGATTTGCTTTTGTTTTCATTGGTTTCTTGATTTCCCTTTTAATTTCTCCTCTGACCCATCGGCTGCTCAAGGAAGTGTTTCGTTTCCACAACTGGGAATTTTCCACTTTTACATCATCGACTCCTAACCTCATCTCTCTGTTGTCAGACAAGACATTTTGTATAACATCCATCTTACACCTATGAAAAGATAAACTGAGACTTAACTTGTGGTCTGATATGTGCTCTATCACCTCGCTGTTGGTTTGATACACAACATCAAGTCCTTGGAAAGGAGTCTCAAATCAACACAAGATGCAAGTCTGGCCTTTATCACAGAAGCTCTCTTTTGATCCTACCCTGGGCCCACTCTGCTGAGCCCTTCAGCGGAGACCTGGGGTGTCTGACCTGGAGGGTGAGAAGCCCAGCATCGGGCAGGAGGAGCAGGTATAAGAGCACGGAGTCCCAGTGTCAGGGATATCCTGGCCATCCTGTTGAAGCCAGTGGGGAAGGACAAGGCATCATGAGCCTACTGTCATGTGGCATGAGAAGAGGACAGTGACATTTGTGGCCTGGAAAACTGGCCAGGCCAAGCAACAGAAGTTACACAGAGAGACGCAGCAGCTCAGGTCCATCACGCCATTCCTGAGGCCCTGCTCTGCCTCTGCACTCTCTCCTGCATCAGAGGCAGAGTAGTAAAGCAGTCAGCAAGCAGGAAATGGGGAAAGGCGACTTTTGTATTTTCTTTCCACCCTGTACTTTTATGAGAAATTCTGACCACCACAAAGGTATACATGACACAGGCTGCACTCAGATTTCAGTTACAGGTAAGGGAGCTCACACCTGTAACATTAGGTGACAGACAGGTGCCCACCTGCCCATTGCCAGCTGCCCTCTGGCCAGGGTACCCGGCCAAGGAGGACAATTCTGGTTCCCAAAATCATGGCATGTAAAGACTGGAACTATGCATCCTCAGAGCCCACATTCCGGCCTCCCCACCATTGCTCCCACATTCCCTGACCCTCACCTTTCAGCAAGGCCTGCAGGATGGCCACGTCCACATCCTGCTGACCGTCCTTGCCTTCCCGGAAGATAGTCAGCAGCTGCCGCCTCCGGACAATATCCTGGATCTGCAACAAGCATTTTCCAAGTGAGACACACAGTGACACCCCACACCCACCTCCTCCAGGACACACAGAATTGAGGCCCTGGACACAGCCAGAGCCATGGGTCCTGCCTGCCCTTGTGGCCAGGACACCACCACATCTCCTCTTGCCTTAGACAGAGCAGATGAAGATCTATGGGGACCAAATACACCATGTTTGTGAGAGTCTGTTGGGTGGAAAACACAATCCAAGGGCAAGAGACCTTCGCCCTGACAATAGTGCAGCTTCATGGGAGGCTGCTCCTCCCGGCCCTCCTGCTAAGCCTGGGCCACTCCTCACCACCTGCTTACCTGTCTGTGTATCTATCTATCTATCTATCTATCTATCTATCTATCTATCTATCTATCTATCTATCTATCTAATCCATCCATCCATCCATCCATCCATCGATCCATCCATCCATTTAGCTATCTATCCATCTACCCATTTATCTATCTATCTATCCATCTATCCATCCATCCATCTATTTATCTTCTATCTCTCTCTCCCTCCATCTATCTATCTGTCCATCTAGGCATCTATTCATCTGTCTGTCTGTCTG